AAACTTGAGAAGAATGTTCATATTCTGTTGTATGAAATAGTCTGTAGATGTCTATTATATCCCATTGATGGTATTGCTGAGTTCAGCTATGTCCTTACACTAATTGTCTGCCTGCTGGATCTGTCCACTTATGATAGACAGGTGTTGAACTCTCCAGCTATAGTAATTTGATTTGTCTCTTTCTTGCAGTTCCATCATTTTTTGCATCAAGTATTTTGATGCACACACACATTAAAGACTGTTAGGTCTTCTTGGAGAATTGACCCTTTATCGTTATGTGATATTCCCTCTTTGCCCTTGATAACATTCCTTGTTCTGAAATCTGCTATCTGATATTAATGTAGCTACTCCAGCTTTCTTTTGATTAGTGTTAGATAGTGTATCTTTCTCCATCTCTTTACTTTTAAACTGTATCTTTATTAAAATTTAAAGTGGGTTTTTGTAGACAGCATGTTTGAGTCTTAATTTTTTGATCCACTCAAATAGTCTGTCTTCTAATCGATGTGTTTAGACTATTGGTATTTAAAATGATTATTTATTTTGTTGGCTTAGTATCTACCATGTTTGTTACTGTTTGCTGTTTCTCTTGTTTTTTTGTCTTCTACTTTCTACCTTCTGTGGTTTTAGTTGAACATTTAATATGGTTCCATTTTCTCTCCTTTCTTAGCATATCAATTAAACTTTTAAAACTTTTTTTCTAGTGGTTTCCCTGTTTGAATGTACATTTATAGGTAGTACAAGTACCTTATAATAACAAAGTATTCCTGATTCCCCTCTCCTATCATTGCTGTGATTCACTTACTTACACATACACTGTAACCACTTGAATACAGTATTGCTATTATTATGAACAAATTATCTGTTAGATAAATCAAGAATAGAAGAAATCAAGTTTTATTTTACTCATACTCATTCCTTCTCTAATGCTCTTTTTTTGTTTTTAATGTAGTCTTAAGTTTTTGTCATATATCATTTCCTTCTCACTGAAGAACTTCTTTTAACATTTCTTGTAAGGTGGATCTACTGGTAACAGATCCCCTCAATTTTTATTTGTCCTAGAAAGTGTTTATTTCATCTTCACCGTTAAAGGACAATTTTGTAGGGTACAGAAATCTAGATTGGTAGTGTTTTTCTCTCAACATTTAAAATATTTCACTCTACTCTCTTCTCATGGGCTTGATTTCTGAGAAGTCAGATGTTACTTCTTTTTTTTTTTTTTCAGATGTTACTTCTTAACTTTGTTTCTCTATAGGTTAGGTATTTTTTCCTCTGAGTTCTTTCAGGATTTTTTTCCATTTATCTTTCATTTTCTGCAGTGTGAATATGATATGCCTTGGGGTTTTTGTTTTAGTATTTATCCTGCATGGTGTTCTGAGCTTCCTGAATCTGTGGTTTGCTGTCTGACAGTTTTGGGAAATTATGTCATTATTGCTTCAATTTTTCTTCTCTTCCTTTCTTCTTCTGGTATCCCCATTACATTTGTGTTAAACTTGTAGTTATCCGACTTCTTGGATATTCTGTTCCATTTTTTTCCCCGTTTTTTTTTTTTTTTTTCCCTCTTTGCTTTTCAGATTTAGAAGTTTCTACTGATATATCTTCAAGTGCAGAGACTCTTTACCAGCTGTGTCTGGTCTACTAATGAGACAGTCAACGACATTCTTCATTCGTTAGTGATTTTGACGTCTAACATTTCCTTTTGATGCTTTACTGTAATTTCCATTTCTTTGCTTCCCTTACCCAGATGTTCTTGGATGTTGTCTACTTTTTCCATTAGAGTCTTTAGCATATTATAGTTTTGAATTTCTAATAATTCCAACAGCTCTGCCATACCTAAGTCTGGTTCTGATTGTTGCTCTGTTTCTTTAAAAACTGTATTTTTTAGTTTTTATTACAGTTTGTAATTTTTGTTGAAAGCCGAACATGATGGGTAAAAAGAACTTAGGTGAGTAGGCCTTCAGTGATGTGGTGGTCAGGTGTAGGGCAAGTATTCTTCTGTTCCGTGATTAGGTCTAAGTTTTTAGTGAGCCTCAGGCCCCCGGGCTGTGAATTTTACACGTGCTTCTCATTGTCAGGTCCACAGGCCACCCCTCTCCCTACCCCACCCCTGGGTGATACAGGGTGGCTTGCATTGGGCGTATTCCTTCCTCCATGTAGAAGGTTAGAGGGAGCAGGAGTTAGGTATTTTCCATCCCCCAGGTCGGTTAGGTTTGGATAAGACTCCAGTAGCTGTGACACTGCTTTCATAGTGGTTAATTTTACCCTCCTCCAGCTGGCAGCACGAGGGGATTTTTCTCCCATCTTCACTGTGGGAACCTCGTACAGCTCCTGGAGATACAGCTCACAAAGTGTGGTGCATCTTTCCCCACCTTCCCCCCCCCCCCCAAAAAAAAAAAAACCTGAGACAAGCTGCCTGTTCTTCTGCCTCTCAAAGTTGTCCATGCTGAGCCTCCAGCATTTTGTCAGTGCAGTTTAGGTTTTCCTACTCTGGTACTAGTTCCCATGGAGGTTTCTACTTATGCATATATGCTCTGGTAAACTGTGATTCTCTGTATCAGCTTATCTGTCTAACTTGGGGGAAGCAGTTTTCTCTGAGGCCTCAGTTCTCTGATGGATCTGAGGAGAGTTGTTGATTTTGTTTCTTCAGCTTTTTATCGTCAGGAAGAAGTGATGGTTTTAGAAGCTCCTTACATGCTGGGCCCAAAACTGAAAGTCTGCCCTCCTTCTCTATGCTTTTTACTTCTTTTGTGCTTTAACATTTTTAAAAAATATTTTTTATTTTGGCAAAAAATGCATACAATGTGTCATCTTAACCATTTCTAAATGTAAGCTTTATTAGTGTTATGTATATATACACATTGTTGTCCAACCAATATCTGGAACATTTTTTATCTTGCAGAACTGAAACTTTATACCCATTGAACAAGTCCCTATTTCCTCTTTCCTTCAGCCTCTGGCAATCACCATTCTGTTTCATTTCTATGAATCTGACTATTTCAGTGAAGTGAAAGTGTTAGTTGCTTAGTTGTGTCTGGCTCTTTGCGACCCCATGAACTGTAGCCCACCAGGCTACGCTGTCCACGGAATTCTCCAGGCAAGAATACTGGAGTGGGCTGCCATTCCCTTCTCCAGGGGGTCTTGCTGACCCAGGGGCTGAATCTGGGTCTCCGGCACTGCAGGCGGATCCTCTGCCGTCTGAGCCACTGGGGAAGACTTATTCAGATACCTCATGTAAGCGAGATCACACGGTACTTCCTCTTTTGTGACAGCATTATTTCACCTAGTACAGTGTCCTCAAGGTGCATCCATGTTGCATGTTGTAGCATGTATCAGAATTTTCTTCCTTTTTAAGACTGAATATTGGTTCATGGCAATGTATATACATTTTGTGTATGCATTCATCCACTGGTGCACACTTAGGTTGCTTCCACCTTTTGGCTTTTGTGAAAACCGCTGCTATGATCACAGGTGTGGGGAACTCCCCTGTGGCCCAGTGGTTAGAGCTCTGCACCTCTGTGCTTCTGGTGGGGCCTGGGGCTTGATTTCTGGTTGAGGAATCAAGATCCTGCAAGCTATGTGGCATGGTGCCACCACGAGGGTTGGGGGGAAACCCCCAAAACAGGTGTGCAAATATCTGAGGTCATTCTTTTATTTTTTTGAATATATGCCCAGAAGTGGCATTGCTAGATCACATGGTAATTCTGCTTCTAAGTTTTTGAGGAACCAACATGTTTTTTCATACACCATTTTCCCAGCAGCAGTGTATAAGGGTTCTAGTTCTTCACATCGGTATACTTTTTGTTTTTTGATAGTAGTCATCTTTGGATATCATCTTTGGAGAAATGCCTGTACAAATCCTCTGCCCATTTTAAAATCAGGTTCTTTTTTGTTGTTAAGTTTACGAGTTCTTTATATATTCTGCCTATTAATACCTTACCAGATATGTGATTAATATCTATTCTTAACAGGGTCTGAGGTTAGTTGTAATGGCAATGTCCTCTTCCCAAAGAATGTACCATTTTAAGAACACTTGAATTCTGATTTCTCTCTTTATGACTTACATGTTGTTATTGTTTAGTGTTTTAGTTCCACTTTGGTTTTATCCTGTTCCTTCGCCCCAGTCCTCAGTTGATCTTTATTTTAAACAATGAATCATTGCTTGTTCAGGTTAATTTCTTTTCTGTCTTGCCTCTCATGTCTTCTTTAAGTGATCAGTTTCTGTATTTTGAAGTATATCCATAAATCGATCTTTCTGTGATGGTCTGTTAATAATAAACACTTAAGGTTTTATTTTCCTCTTAGTCTCAAGAAGTGTCTCTAATTTTATCTTTTTTTCATAGTTCCTGTGGCTATTTACTTCTTGGTTACAGTTATTTTCTCTTAGAACTTTTAAAAGATATTATTATCATGTCTTATTATCTTCTACTGACACCCACTTAAAAGTTTCTGCTGAGAATCCAGTGCAGTTATTATTTCTTTCTTCACAGAATAGTTTCCCTTTTCTTCCCCCAACTTATTGCTTTTAAAAAGATCTTGTGGTATTTTGCTGTATCCTTATGATGTGTAAGTGCAGATTTTATTTTTATCCTCCTTAGGTTGGGAGTTTGCTTCCTGAATATGGAACAATTGGTCATGTGAATGAGGCATTTTTCTGTGTCTTTTTGCTATGCTGCCATTGGTGGCGTTCTTCGTTAGGGTGAAACTAGGCATCAGCCATAAAGAACCAGTGTTTTCCTGCAGGTTTAGTCAGATTTAGTCATTCAGTAAATTTGAATACTTACCATGTTCTAGGCTCAAGAAATATATATGGGAACTCTTACAACTGGGAGCTAAAGTGGAGACTTTAGATTTGCCGCCTAACATGATTTCTGCTTTCTTCTGTAGACTGAGAATGGTCTCCAACTGCCAAAGAAGGTTGTGGATGCCAAGAGAAAGGTAACTGTTTCTCATCCCCTCGAGTGGAATTGGTTGCCTCTGGGAGCCCACAGTGGCTGGCAGTAGACATGGCTGAGTTTACAAGCTACAAAGACACTGCTTCCAGCCGCCACCTGCGGTTCAAGTTACAGAGTCTAAGCCGCCGCCTTGATGAGTTGGAGGAAGCCACAAAAAACCTCCAGAAAGCAGAGGATGAGCTCCTGGACCTCCAGGACAAGGTGATTCAGGCGGAAGGCAGCAATTCCAGCATGTTAGCCGAGATTGAAGTGCTGCGCCAGCGAGTGCTGAGGATCGAAGGCAAAGATGAGGAAATCAAGAGAGCAGAGGACCTCTGTCAGCTGATGAAGGAGAAGCTTGAAGAGGAGGAAAACCTCACCCGGGAGCTGAAATCTGAGATTGAGCGGCTTCAGAAACGGATGGCGGAATTGGAGAAGCTAGAGGAGGCCTTCAGCAGGAGTAAGAATGACTGCACCCAGCTCTGTCTGAGCCTGAATGAGGAGAGAAACCTGACGAAGAAGATCTCCTCGGAGCTGGAAATGCTCCGGGTCAAAGTGAAAGAACTGGAGTCTTCCGAGGACCGGCTGGATAAGACCGAGCAGAGTTTAGTGTCCGAGTTAGAGAAGCTGAGGTCGCTCACTCTGAGCTTCGTAAGCGAGAGAAAATACTTGAATGAAAAGGAGAAAGAAAACGAGAAACTGATAAAAGAGCTTACTCAGAAATTAGAGCAGAACAAAAAAATGAACCGGGATTACGCCAGGAATGCTTCTAATCTTCTGGAAAGGAACGACCTGCGGATTGAAGATGGTATCTCTTCCACACTGCCGTCCAAAGAATCAAGAAGGAAGGGCGCTCTGGACTATCTGAAGCAGGCAGAGAATGAAACAAGAAACAAGTCAGAAAACGAAAAGAACCGAAATCAGGAAGACAACAAAGTAAGAGACCTTAACCAAGAGATTGAGAAACTTAAGACACAGATCAAGCATTTTGAATCTTTGGAGGAAGAGCTTAAGAAAATGAGGGCCAAAAATAATGATCTTCAGGATCATTACCTAAGTGAACAAAATAAAAACAAACTCTTAGCCAGCCAGCTGGAGGAGATAAAGCTACAAATCAAGAAACAGAAAGAATTGGAGAACGGGGAGGTGGCAGGGGAAGACGCTTTCCTCTCCAGCAGAGGCAGGCATGAGAGGACTAAGCTGAGAGGCCATGGGAATGAGGCGTCAGTGAAGCACACGGCCCGGGAACTGTCCCCTCAGCATAAGCGGGAAAGGCACCGGAACAGGGGGTTGGCTCTCAGCAATGAGAGCCCTCTGAACAACAGGCAGGTTTCCTCTCCCAGCGTTACCAGCAGCAGGGCAGCCAAAGCTTCCCACGCAGGGCCAGGTGCAGACAGTGGGGCTCAGGAGACGAGGAGAGCCGAAGATCGATTCACGTCTGGCTCCTCGCAGAGTGAAGGGAAGAAGTCCAGGGAGCAGCCGTCGGTGCTCAGCCGCTACCCACCAGCCGCTCAGGAGCACAATAAGGTCTGGAAGGGCGCTCCCAAGCCAGGTACTGAGAGTGGGTTGAAGGGAAAAGTAGAGAAGGCAACGCGAACGTTTAGTGATAACACCCATGGATCTGTTTCCAATGACGTGCTGGGGAGAGGTGACAAGGCTTCTGACACCTCCACTGAGGCCCCCTTTGGCAAGAGGGGGCATGTGCCTGGCAGTGGAAGTCAAACAACTCAGGCTGCAGATGCTGGCAGCTCTAAAGCCATTGGAGCCCTGGCCACATCTCGACGATCTTCCTCAGAAGGGCTCTCTAAGGGGAAAAAGGCCGCCAGTGGCCTGGAGGCTGACACCAGTTTCCCCAGTTCCAAGACTCCACCTCTATCAAAGTATCCGTATAGCTCCAGGAGCCAAGAGAACATCCTTCAGGGCTTTTCAACCCAAAATAAAGAAGGAGTTGAACAACCTGTGGCAGTTGTGATGGAAGACAGTAGTCAGCATGAGGCCCTGAGGTGTCGAGTCGCCAAGTCCAGTAGCAGAGAGAAGCCGGACTCGGACGACGACATGGACGTGGTGTCTCTTGTTACTGCCAAGTTGGTGAACACGACCATCACTCCAGAGCCAGAACCCCCGCAGCATCCCCACTCGAGAGAAAAGGCCAAATCCCGGGGAGCGGTTAGAGCCTCCCTGTTTGAGAATGATAAAGACGTGGGAACAGAAAATGAGTCTGGGAAAGCTGTCAGAGCCTCCGCCAATGCCATGGAGCTCCCAGAGGCCAACGGCCCCGGGGCAAAAAGCCAGCGGCCCTTCAGCCCCAGAGAGGCCTTGCGGTCTAGAGCCATCATCAAACCTGTCATCATTGATAAGGATGTGAAAAAAATCATGGGAGGATCCGGAACCGAGGCCTCATTGGAAAAACAGAAATCTGCTTCCAGACCAGGGCCAAACAAAGTGACCAGCAGCATAACTATCTACCCCTCGGATAGTGGCAGCCCGCGAGCTGCTCCAGGCGAGGCCCCGCGTGAGAGGCACACGTCCACCGGCAACATCCAGGTCGGGCTGCCGGAGCCCGCCTCAGTGAGCAACCACGTCAGCGCCCCCTTTGAGCTCTCCATTCACAAACACGACATCACCCTGCAGTTCAGTGAAGCGGAGAGAACGGGAGATGGGTCCCCGAAGAACAGGCCGGAAACGGTGGTCTCTCGGAGCAGCATTATAATCAAGGCGTCGGACCCTGTGGAGAGGAGCAGCCATGCGCCCACAGCAGAGACGATCAGGTGGAAAAGCCATAGTGCGCCTTCAGAAGCGGGCGCTTCGGATGCCAGACACGTCACTGTGCGCAACGCCTGGAAGAGCAGGCGAGACGTGAACTCTTCAGAAGACTCCCCAGGTCGGGTAGGTAAACACGCGGAGTCTCCCAACCTCCACACCCAGAGATCGTCCACAGACTGTTCAGACTTTGAACAGCCCGGCTCGTACCTTTCTGAGCAGGGCACTCGAAGGAGCGGAACCTCCGGGGACGCCCCCGAGCTCGCCTGCAGAAGGACCCAGAGCAGCCTCACCGTGTCGGAGGTGTTCACGCGGCGGAGTCGGGCAGGGGACGCCGTCCCATCTGAGGCCTGGAACCACTCAGCAGGCACGGTAGGTCCCGCTTCTCCCCCTTGCCCCCTTCTCCTCCCACCTTCCCCCTTTTCTCCTGCGCTTTCTTCTTGGTTCTCCTCTGCCCTGGCCTGTGTGACTTGGGATGCTGGAGACTTTGGGGTTAGGAAACACTGAGCAAGAACTGAGTGGTTCAGAGGACCACTGAACATAAGGTGGATTGGGCCGGGAAGAAGAGGGAAGTACCTTGCAGAAGGTATTTGGCAGAGAGCAGCATGAATTTCCAAAACCCTTTTTCCCAATTTGTCTTTTCCGTTTGCCTCCATACATGAAGGGTACAGAAGAGGAGAGATGCGGCCTGTTCTCGCGGTTGGCCGGAGCAGCCAGAGGCACTCGGCTCCTGGCCCTGCAGAGGAGCATGCGGGCTGCCGGGAGGCGCTGGTGAAACGAGCCCCGCGCCCTCTCTGTAGGCAGAGGCGGGCCGAGGCAGGGAGCGCTTTGGCTACCTCAGTTTAGACTGCAGTGTTTTGCCAGCCGCTGGCACGCAGGGGCTGAGGAGAGCTAGGGCTTACCCTGGGTCTATGGTGATAGGCTTTATGCCTGAGCATCACTCTTTATCCCCCGTGTTTATCTAGCCCGTTATACCGCCAGTCTGAGGGCAGGGCTGGTTGGCTCCGTGTGGCCTGTTACTGAACAGACAGATCCAGAATCTCCCCTTACCCGAGGGTCCAAGGCCAGATCAGCATGTGGTGGGAAGCCCCCGGGAGTGTCTTTCAGATGTGAGTCCTGTGATGAAGAAAGACGTCTTTGACCCAAGATAATGTTCCTTTCTTTTAAAAGGCAGGGGGTGACTGTATTGAGTTAAAAAGCCCTGGGAGTCTTTACAGGGTACTCAATACCGGACAACACTTCTCTACAGCGTCCCATTCATTCTCTCCAACAGCCCTGGGGTGTGTGAGGCGGCAATATTATTCCTGTGTTTTAGACACAGAAGCTGAGGGTCAGAGACACAAGGTGCCTCACCCAAGGCCACCCAGGAGAATTACTGGAAGAGCTAAGATCTGAATCCACAATTCTGATCTCTAAACCCAGTGCTCGTTTACCTTGCCAATTGGACCTTCTCGCTCACACTTGCATTCTCTGATCTACATTTGCTTGGGTGGGAGGACCAACAAGAACATTCGAAAGGCAGAATTCTGCGAGGAGTGGAGAAAGTTGGATGAAGCTGAAGCTTTGGTTGTCTGAAAAGTGTAGGGTGAAGGGCACGTACGGGATCCGGTAGGAAAGGCCTGGGAGCCTTTGGTAGTTTGTGGGGGGGAAGTCGGATAAGCGCTGGCTGTCTTCCTTCTCACACTTCCCTGCCTGTCCTCTGAGCACATGGCTCTGACCCTGAGAGGCAGGCAGCCTGCATCTGCAGCCCTCCAGGACTGCTGGCCCCTGTTGGGGGCCCCACCTCAGTGCCCCTGCTTCCGGCGCAGTCCATCTTGGGGTTCCCCTTCAGCTGTGAGCCTCCAGTCTACCTTGGGAGCCCTGAGCAGCTCAGAGCTGGCCACGGGAGCTTGTCTGCCGGCCTCCCCTTGCCAGCTCTGCCGCGGGCTCTCTGTACCCCATCTCCCCCTGCTGGGAAGGACCACGGGGCTGGGCGTGCAGGCATCTCGTTCCTCACTTGGGTTGTCCTGCGCGGCTGATTTCTGTCCTGTTGGCACAGGAGGAAGGGGACGACTGCACCCTCAGCGTCTACAGACGACTGCACAACTCCCTCGAGAGGTCTGAACTGTCCGTGAAGCAGGGGCCGCTGGAGCCCGGGCGCACGCGGGCTGAGGAGCGGTTGCGGCCCACCAGGCCCTGTGCCGAGGACAACTGAGCCGGCCGGGCGACGCCTGCCGTCTCCTCTGCCCCTGCTTCTCAGCTCATCCACCTTTGCGCCCTGTGAAGGAGCCAGGCCAGACCCCAGGCCTTGCCTGGGAGACTGTGCTGGAGAGCCCGGCTGTGGCCTGTTGCTTGCCAGTAGGCCAGAGGGGATCAGAAAGTACACGCTGGACATGGTCACCCGGGCCCAGCCTTCCCTGATGCATGAGTTTCCTCTCCTTGTCCCCATGCCCCGGGTAGGATGGGCCATTCCGGCCCCCAAATGAGGAAAGATCTAGAGAACCCCTTGGATCCCCGCCACACAACAGCAGCCAAATCTCCCAGCTCCTGGGTGGGTTGTGTCATTGGGCAACCCCTTCTGTGTGGTTAACGTTCTGATTCCTTAGTATCCTCACCGCATCCAGCTCACTCCTCGTTTGCCCAAGGGGCCTGCGTACCCACCAGCCATCAGCTCCATCTAGGGGGTCTCTGTTTCTTCCCCAGTGGAGTTCCTCAGACTTTTACAGCGAGAGAGATCTGTGTTGCCTCTAAGCGTTTATGGAACCACCCTTTAGGTTGACGTTTCTCTGACTTGTCCCCCTGGCTGACCATTGTTTTCCGGGGGCAGAGCACACGGGTACCCTACCTACAGGAATGGCATCATCCCTCCCCGCCAACCCCGGCTCTCTGCTCACCTTCCAAAGGCACCTGGAAGCGCACGAGCCTCACGCGTCTCCTTCCCTGGCCACCAACCGTGCTGCTGGCCCCGGCCTGCTCCTCTCCTGTGGCTGGAGACCTCAGGCTGACTGTGTTATCTCCTCCTCTGGAGTATTCCCAGACTCCACTGGGCCAGACCCAGCATCCTCTACCTTCTAGGAAGTGCCAGCGTGGGGGAAAGTGGACAGGAAGAAGCAATTTCCCTTTAGTCACTCCATAAAGCAATAGCTCCCTGAAAAAGGCGTGGATTCTGTTCATCCTCCTGATCCCTGTGGAGGAGGTATTGCACTTTACCAAGTGGATGCATTCCTACCAGAAGCAGGCCCATGAGTTCTGCAAACCAACGATCGTTGTGATGACTGCATTGGAGGAAAGGTAATACGTGCCCATCAAGAGCCCCAGGTTTATACAATTCAGAATGCAGCAAACCTTTCAGGAAGCCACATAAATAAAAATTGATTAGTTTCCTTATACCAGTCCTGTGGGGAAGAACCATATATTCTTCGCACTGCTTTTTCTATAGCATTCTCTCAGTTCAAAGGGATCCCTTTTCAAAGGCTGCCTTTATGAAGCCAACACTGTTCCTTCATAATGACAGATGGCATTGGAGTAGAGGTTGAGAAAGCTGAATTTTCTTCATGGCTTTATACTTCCCTCCTGTGTGACCTTGGGGAAATCATTGTCCTCTTGGGGCCTCAGTTTCCTTATCTATAAAATTAGTTCTTTAAAATGGTCTCTGAGGGTCCTAAACCTGGCATTTAACTTTTGTTTCCACTCTGTAGGGGGGTAATTCTCACTGTTGGAAGGTATTAACCAAATGGGTTTACATGTGTCCTTCCACTGCCTTTGTTTTTCTGGGCCTTATTCTTTCCAGTTTCCTGTGTTTTAACGTCAAGAGGATGAACTCAGAGAAGTTATCATGGCCCTGCTTTTCCAGTCTGTGAAACGGAAGGGCTGGATTAGATGGTCTCTGTGGCCCTTCTCAACACCAACCTTGCCCAGAGCCGCACAGCAGGCCACGTGCTTTCCATCCAATGCTTCTCGCATCTTCTCTGCCTCCACTCAGGGTGGGAACCAGCATTCGCCCCTCCCTTGTCGGCATCAGGTTTGGCGAACCTGGAGGGGGCTTGGGGAGCACCTCCCTGACTTTCACGGACAGGCGTGTTTTGCTCATACTCCCATTTCCCGGAGTTTTGCCAATCTGAGGGTTGTAATGTGGTTTGCCTTTTCTCCTCATCGCTGCCTCAGATGCTCAAGATGCTGTTTTCAGAATCTCTTCCTGCTGCTTTTCCTGGCTCAAGGCTGCAACCCCTCACTTGTAGCCTCCCTGCCATTCTTCACTCGTCAGCAACCCTTTGAGTCCAGAGGAAACCGGACCTGAGTGGCCGTCAGCTGAGGTCTGTGGCTCTGCGGGTGGGACAGGCGTGCCTGCAGAGGTTGGCCAGTCGGTCTTCTCTGGGCACCTGGAGCCCTGGATTCTGGCGCTGTGTGCAGCTCCTGGTGCCAAAGGCTGGGTCTTTCCCCAGCTCAGCGGCACCGGCGTCTGCCCCCGCCCAGAATGCTCTGTGGGAGAGGGCAGCTGTGGGGCCCTCTTGCTGGGGCTGCTGACTTAAACTCTGAGTGCAATAGGGTTTGATTGTACAGTTATTTCAGGATAAATATTGTTTCCTTATTCTGCACACTTTCTAGAGCCCGCTGTAAAATAGATTTTATTTTTAAATGTCCTCACCATTGCAGAAAATACTATTTGTAATAGCAAGTGAAGGCTAGAGGCGCAGTTCCTCTGGGCTTCAAATGGCTGGCAAGACTGGCTCTCAAATTCCAAAGTTGGAAGGCCCGTTTCCAAAAAGCAATCTAGGCGTGACTGTCCAGCCCCAGACCTCTCCATCAGAGGTCCTGGAGGAAACTTCCAAGTGGGAGACCTAGTAGTTGAATAATTGTCTTATCAAGCCAAATATTCCCACTGTCGCAGCCAACACACCCACTTTTTACGACCAGCCTCTTCCACAGCCTGGCTCTGACTCGGACTTTGCCTGGCAGGTGTGTAGTTGTGGGAGGGCTTCTAGGAGGGTCGGGGAATCTGGCACTCCCAAGAGCTGCTCGGCTGGAGGAAGGGGTGCTGGAGGCAGAGCTGGCTACACGCGAGGAGCTGGTCTCCGCCACCTGCTGCTGCCTGTCTCACCACTCGTGACACTCGGAACAGTCAGAGAAAGGAAGGATGGGGATGGTGGACAAGGAAACCGTAGCTGTTGTGCTCTTGTGAGGCGAGGAAACAGTTACAGGGTGGCGGACGGGCTCTGCAGTGGGCCAAGGACTGCAACCTCAGCCACAGGCAAGCTTGCACATAACTCCTCACCCTCTCGTGGGGGTGGGGGCGTCTGTACTGATCTTGGACTTGTCATCTCGGGGCAGTTTTACTTCTTTACATTCAGTGGGTTAGTGCCAAGTGCTCCCACTCCCCAGGAAAGGACTGGTGACCCCGTCTCCGGGTCCCCAGCTGCCTTTGTTGGTGTGGGCTTATTGTTACTCTGACAAGACTGCTTTGGAAGAGCTGCTTTTAGGGATTCCCTTTTAAATACCCCAGGTTGGGAACAGGGTTCTCACAGCCAAGATCATAGGAAAGGGGCCCTATTTTCCTGCTGCTTCACAGCTCAGAACATGTACTGAATGGAATGTATTTTTAAGAGAATAAAGTCTATTTTTTCTTTTTTTTTTGTATTTTAAAGATTGGGAGGGCTAGGGAAGTAGCCCTCAAATAAACTGTTATTACCTAATAGGCCCCCTGGCTGGGGACACATCAGTGTGTTGGTCTCCACCTACTCGCTCGGGCGGGCCCTCTGGCCGCTCCCGTGCCCCTTGGAGGCTGGGTGCAGCAGCTTCTCTTAGATTCCTGCTCCAAGCACGGGACCAAGGAGGCCAGACCCTGTCGCTGGAAACCAGGGCGAAGCCGTGAGCAGTGACTCAGGGCCCCTGGGGTGCACGTGTGGAGCTGAAGCTGCCTGTCTGCATGTATCCTCTGGCTCGAACGCGGTCTGTTGGCTCCGCAGCACAGTGTAACCAATAAAGCTCCCTAGTTTCCACACGCTGTGTGAGTGTGGCTCAGTGCTGCCATCCTCCTCGATGCCATCTCTGTGTACAACTGTTGCTATGCATTGGTGCAGCCAGTATATTTCACTGTTTTACTGAAGATACTCAGCCAATTACAGCTGCCGTTAAGGACTGGAAACACAGCTGAGGCTATGGACGTTTCCTCAGACGCACGTAAGTGGAGTTAGAATCACAAGGCAGTTATTTTATTGCTGCATTTTACTTTTAGGCTTATCTGTCATCAGATACACACAAAACAATTATCTGTATCTCCCAGGCTGCCTGTATCATTAAATAACACAAATTCTTTAAAGAACACATATCACGACATTAGACACCTAAGCCCCTGAAGTAACAGATGTTCATGGCAAAGCTAGGGTTCAAATATAGGTTGTATTCCAAAGTCAGTATACTTTCTACTCCCTGTTCTCACCTTGACGTCATGGTTACACCACTTGTCCTAATCCCGGTATGCAAATTTTCCCATGGTTGTCCTTCATTCCACCTAGGGAAAATGCCCTCTCCATCTCCACCTTCTAGTCAGACTATAACGTCCTTAAATCTTACTAAGGATAAAACTTCATTTAAACTTTTTAGGAAAGAATTGACTAACAGGAGTAAAATCCAATTTATTGAAGCAGATTATGTACCCACACTTAACCGGTAACATAGTCTGTTAGGAGCCCTTTGGAAGAAACAGGTGCTGTTCCTTTTTTGTAAAAACGTTTTAATCTTACATGGCGAAGATGATTTTGCAAATGTGACTAAGCGTTTTGACATAGGAGAGGTGATCTGGGTGGGCCTTAAACGAAATCAGAAGTATCCTTATAAGAGGGAGACCAGAACAAGATAGGGTGATGATGGAAGCAGAGACTGGGGTAATGTGTTTTTAAGATGAGGAAGGGGCCACAAGCCAAGGAATATAGTCACTAGAAGCTGAAGGAGCAAGGAAATGGAATATTCCCGTAGAGCCTGCGTAGCTATTATCTAAACCCTTGATCTCCTTAAACTTTTACATCAGTACCTTGGAGAGAAGTAGAAAGTTAGCATGTACTCATGGGAGGGAATCTAGGGGAATAAAGCCAGAACGGTCTGCCAGAGGCCCAACCAACCTTTGTGTCAAAGCTTGTGTTTTATCTTGAAAATTCATTCAGCTTCCTAACACCCATATGTATGACCTGCAGGTCCATATCCCTGGCACATGGTCACCCCACAGTCCCGGTGGTGGGCAAGTCTAGCCCCACAGACAAGGAAGCGTTCTGCTTCTATGTGAAACCCCTTGGTCCTGTCTTCTGATCACACTAAACCATTTTCTCCTTTATCTCATTTAAACATGGATAAATTTGGCATTTTCAAAGGAGTATCACCCCTGCTTTATATAGAACTCTAACCCCAAGAGGAAACAAAAATCAGTCCTGATTTTCTATGAAGTTTTATTCTCAAAATATAAAAAACCACCACAGACAGAGACTAAGATGTTCTCTCCCAGTACTTGCTTCCCTCAGTCCTGATGAAGAACACAGACTCTCAGACTAATGGAACAAGTGCCTCCCTAGCTCTAAGTCACAGGAGGCCACCTCCTCGGCCACCTGGCCATCAGGGGCTTTGCCTGAGCAGCTGAGCTGGAGCCCAGAGGCGGGCGAGTGTCTCAGTGGAATCTGTATTTTTTGCTAGAAGAGCTTTGCTTATTCAGCAGAAGACGCGCACGGGCTGCTTCCCTTAGAGCACGCCGTCTCACATGCTCGGGGCCTGCTGCGTAGGGACGCCGGGTGTGGCCTGGCGAGGCAGGGTGTACATGGCCCCCAAGAACTGGTCTGCAATCCTTCCTGCTTCTCGCAGCCCGCTCAGCAGAGCACCATGGACTGTGGCTGGGTAGTTACGGATTGTGTGTTCTCCAGCAAAGAAGAGTCGAGGAATGGGCTATTTTAGGAAAAAAATTGGAGAAAATCAGCAGGCTGCAAATATGCCTTATTACTGTATTTGAACTGCCAAACTCCTGTTGGCCTTTGAAGGCTTACTACCTCCGTTCCATTACTGGTCCATCATCCTACCAAAAAGGGTCTCCCGCAGGCAACTCCCTAAAGCACACAGAAGTAGAAACAGGGCACTAAAGCTCAGTGCAGCCTTAGTTCTAGGGTGATGTTTACCTGCACCTGGGCTTATTTATCAGTTTAATTCTGGGGAACACCCAGTTCTAGACCTTCCTTTGCCTGATGTAGCATGTACTGGGGGCGTGGTGTCCTAACTACTCTGAATCACAGACAACACAGTACTTGTTCTTATTCTGGGACACGTGCCGCAGTTTAGAGCAGACCTCACTCACCACAGGGCTCTGGGAAACCATGACTGCTCCTAAAGACCACAGGTTATTTCTTAGGGGCATTTCCTGGAAGCCCCTAAGTAACTGGGATGCTGCAATAATCCTATGAGCCAGTACAAAATGGGGCACAATTAAAGATTAAAATACACACAATCTGAATAAGGAAAAAGTAACTGGTCTATACTTTGGACTCTTCCATTCTGAACACAGACTAGACTGACAAAGCCAGTAAGTAACAACTCAGACACACAATACTTCTCCTCCCTTTCCTTCTGCTCTTGATTATCTGAAAGGTTCGAGAACAGATTAAAAATCTGAAGAAAATCTTTTTAAAAGATTAAAATCTAAAAAAAAACAGAACAACCGAACCAGTAGCACTATTTTTACCCTGAAATCCTGGGGTACTGTCCTATTTCCAAATAAGCTCAGGTACAGTCTGCCAGTTTTTCTCACCTGTGGGGCACCTGGAATTGAGGGGCCAGGAGTGATTGGCTGAGCCATTAAGTCATAGTCATTTCCAGACGATCCTGCAGCTACATAGGAATAGGAGCCTCGGGCCCAGGGATCAGCACGCCAGCGAGACACTACTGTTTCCTTGGGCTAAAGAAAAAAACATGAGTGGAAGTTATTACTGGACACTAAGGACAAATCATGCATTTCTGAAAGGTGGAAAAGCTCTGATGGGTTGGGATACAGTGAGACATGAGTGCTGGCCAAGTGATAAATGCTGCTGCTCTGAAACAAAACACAGATGCCTTCTCAGGCTGCGAGGAGGTTCCAGGCTGCCTTCTCTGCTATGAATCCAGAGATTTACCTAGGAATTGACCTGTATTCCCTTTTGATTTTAAAATTCACATGAAGCATTAATATGCTTTATCTCAAAGGAATCATAAGACTGTTTCAATGGACTTAAAGAACAATAGAAAAAAAGTATCAAGATAATCTCTTAAAATTTCCTTAAGGGAATTTGGCCACTTTATCTAAAAGGTGGTCGGGGAAGTTGGGGGGCAGGTGAGGGGTGTGATTTCACAAGTAGAGACAACAGACAACACAAGTGAACAAAGGCAGCAAATAGCCTTCTCAATCCCCTGGCCCATACACTGGGGGCTTTTCTCAAAACTATACTTGGGGCATGAACTCTAAGCAGTAAACCCAGCACACACTCGATTCTGGCTGAAACTGCCCTGATCAAGAATTATGCTGCGACTGGAGATCCGTCAAACCCTGCTGTAGTCTTATGGCCCCAGATCCCTGCCTGCCCCGCCCCGCTTACTCACCTGGGGCACCGCACTGCTGCCAAAAATCCCCTTGAGGATGGCCAGGCATCGGCCAACAATCACATCATCACTTATGTTTTCCATGATGCCGGCAGCTTCTCCTGCCACGAGTGCCAACAATATTGGAGCTGAAGAAACAAAGCATAATTCTAGAGTCCTACAGACTATTTCCAAGTACTTCCTTATCAGGTCCCTCCCACGTCATTCTTGGCTGTTTGAAATCTGATGGCCAACAGACTAGATATGCACCACTCATGCTAGATATGTTTCTGAGCTAGCAACTTGAATCCTGTCCCCTAAAGGGAGCTGGCAAATCACAGTAAGTGAAATGTTGACTCACGTACTTCACTGCATATAACCTGGCAGAATACAGAAGTCCTGAAGATACCACTTCAGACCTTGCTAACAAGTGTCCCTTTATTTAGGCACAGAATTCTTCAAGACATCTCGATGACCAGGGCTGCAGCCTCTTAGCTGTCATCTGAGGCCCTTCCATACTCACCATTACTTTTCCTCACCCATTTCATGGCCCTGTGTACAACAGGCTACATGATAGGCACAGTGTTAGATGCTGTGGATATAAAAACTATAGACTATATACCCCAAAGAGCAACAAAAAAAACCAGATACATAATTATGAACTATGATAAAAGCTAGGAAAACACAGAGAAAAGAACACAGGACATAATTTACATTTGAGGCAGTGGGGACAGGTGTATCCTGGAAAGTCTTTGGAAAAGGTCATTTAGGTCAAGACTGAAGGCTGGGTAGAGTGTGCTAGGTTGGCAAGAAAGAAAAGGGGAAAAAGAAAAGCACCCCGTGCCGAGGCCCCAGTACAATGCCGAGGCCCCAGTACAACACGGAAGTAGTAGACAGGATGGTGCATTTCAGGGTTCCAGGGGAACAGACAAGTGTGTCTGGAGGCTGGGGAGGGGATGGACAATGAGGAAGCTGATAGAAGAGAAGGGTTAGATTAATTACCCTTCATGCTGGCCATGAAAATGAAAACCATCAAAAGAAAGAAGCAGGGATAGCAGTCAGTGGTTACTGGTGATTGGACAGGAATGTACAGCCAAGAGTGGCCTGGACTGGGAGGTGGGCAGTGGGAAAGAGGGAGCATTCAGCGGTCGTTAGAAGCACCGTGCCCAGGGAGCAAGTGAAGGATGAAGGATGGCCACGTGAAGGATGCTTCGGTATCAGGCAGTAAGCAGTGATGGCAAGAACCAGGGTGGCAGTCAAACCGGTCAATCGATGCGTCTGCACTGTCGAGGCCAGGCCTCCTGAACTGCCGCCCAGAATGTCTTGCACCTTTTTCTTAGAATGAGGCAGTATCTAAACATACTTTTCTTTTTTTAAAAAAAGTTCTATATTAAGCTAAGAGCAACCCAATTACATAAGAATACAAAACAAGAAGTGATCAAAGATTCAGGGGCAGGTCAGATACAAGAGTCTGAGAATGAGGAATTCAAGCTGTCCTTTCCCGGAAGCTTTCCTGGGCCTGGCCCCGGCTGAGGGGACTCCTCCATGTTTTCTTCCACAGCACCCTGGGCTTGCAGCCTGGCACTCCTCCACTCGCTGCCCCACTCTGAGGCTGCCTCCCTCCTTCCTACATGTATTTCCCACTAAGTTGTGCGCTCCTTGAAGGCAAGCATAGTGTTACTAATTCTCTATTCCTGTAAGGATGTGAAAAAGATGAAAAGGAGAAAGCAGTTACCCTTATAGAGGTTCCAGAAGAGGAAGAGCTCGCCCCTGCTCGCAGTCGTGCTGCCAACATGGCCGAACAGATTGACACTTGGGTCCCAGAACACACGGTCAAAACACAGCACCACCTGTCGGCAGAGGGAAGCACGTGAGCCAGTGACAGAGCTCAGAGAACGCGGCTTTGAGCACAGCTGTGTCTCAACGGGGAAGCACTTCTTCCTCAGAAAGTTTCTTCTGATCTACTCTCAATGTAAGTTTAGATATCCCTATTATAAAAGTACTACTCAGGAGGACCTTTAGCACTCTCTCTAGGCCTGGGTTTGAGAAGTGACCTCAGAAGACAGTCCTTGTGGATACTTTCATATATAATTAGGACCTAAAGGGAATGAACAGACAGCCCTCTCCCTGAGTGAAGGGCAGTCAGACTGGTACCTGTGCCCTGGAATGCGGAGGTGCCCAGTTACCTTGTTAAGGTTGCCAAACCCCATCCTCTGGACTGCAGATGTTTTCCACTCGGGAAGAGGCGGCACAAACTGCACGGCGGGTGGCTGCTGCTTCAGCACGCCCAAGGGCAGGGTGCAGAGAACTGCGTCACACTTATAAATAAAGGTCTGGCTTGTGGAGCGGGTGTTGACAGCTATCACTTCACATCCTAGAGAGGTAGGAGGGAAAAGGCTTTACTAGTGATAAGGATGATGCTGACGAGGGCACTGAACATTTAGTGCACAGCAGGCTCCACATGCCATCTCAGGTGATTCTTACTACCTGTCTATGAAATCAGTTCTACTCAATTTTTACAAAAGAAAACAGGCAGAAGTAAACTTGTCTGAAGCCATATAGCTAACAAGTGCCAGGATTCAAACCCAACAGTCAACTTCAGAATCCTCGACCTTCACCACCATGCCACCCCACACCTTCCTGACTGGTACCCCAATGCTCTTCTGTACTAACAAGACCTTATCATTTACCAAAGTTTTGTAAATTTAGACCAAAATTAAGAGTAAAATGCCTATTCCAATAGAAGCAATACCTCTCCACTGCGGTTAAGGAGCTCATGAGGACCAAGAGGCGAATGGTGCCAGAAGACTGTTGTGCAGGTCTAGGGGATGCGGCCTGCAACCACAGAGCGCACTATCCTTGAGACGCACCAGGATGGGATGCTTAGCTTGCCAGGATATGAGTGAGCTCAAAGCTGACCACAGAAAAGGTACTGTAGGTCAGTTAATGTAATTTTCTCTCAATTGTGTTCAATGTTTTCCTCAATGAATGCCTCTTCACGTAATTTACAAAAAATATACAGACAGCTCAAAATAAGAATAAAGCACTCCATACACGCCCATTTTCTGTAGCTGCAGAATTAAGGGAAATGACACAAAAAGCTAGTTTCACTGTTCTCCGCCTGCCTGCAAATGGCTACTTAAAGGCCGCAGATCTTCTTAACACTGTCAGCTAGAAGCTGCCTCTGAAGGGAAGATTAAATGGAAAATTGTTTCATTTGTTGTTAAAAAAAAAAAAAAAAATCTGTGGTGATCTTAGCAACTCCAGAAAAGGGGCCATGGAGGGCAAGATTGGTGGCCACATCTCCATTTGTCATGAGAGTCCGTACGGAGGGGGTCAACAAGCTTTTGTACGGTGTTCAAGTAGATTCCAAAGGTGGTTGGAATGACAGGTTCTCTGCACTCCACATGAAGTGTATCCTCAAAGCAGCAAAAATGAGCATAGAGACTACTACCATAGGAATCAAAGGGCAGTTCAGTCTCTGAGGTCAACCTATCAGCAGAACTGATCCCAAAACGAGATACCAGTCTAAGCAGTTAGCCCACCTGAACAGAAAAAGCCAAAGATGAAGATGCAGATGGTAAAATACAAGGGGTGGCTCTCAATGGAACCTAGGGGCCCAATTCCTGGTATTTAAGAATTTACTTAGCAAAATTAGATCCAATCTCACTGGATCTAAATACCAAACTAATTCAGTCAATCTTAAAGGAAATCAACCCTAAATATTCATCAGAAGGACTGATGCTAAAGCTTCTGAAGCTTCAATACTTTGGCCAACTGATGCAAAGAGCTGACTCACTAGAAAAGAGCCTGATGATGGGAAAGACTAAGGGCAAAAGGAGAAGAGGGTAGCAGAGGATGAGATGGTTAGGTAGCATCATTGACTCAATGGCCATGACCTTAAGCAGACTCCAGGAGATAGTGGAGGACAGGGAAGCCTGGAACCCTACAGTCCATGGGGTCGCAGACAGACATGACTTGGCAACTCAACAACAGTAACAAACAAATTCGTGCTAACTGCTAATCCATTCAAACTGGAGACTCTGAAAATTGCCCCAATTGTCTGGCTTGTACTATGATGGGGTCAGAACCTCTAAAGGCTCTATTGGCTCAATACTTTTGTAAATGAAAAAAATTTAATTCAGGAATCACTGTTTGTAAGACACTCTATCAGGAAATGTAACTAATATTTTTTCAGTAGGTCAAACTCAACAGAAGATCAGTACTCTATTTCAGAGTAAGAGGTTTATCTTACTAGAAAAGACATACCTGAAGCTGTGTAGCGAACCTGCCGAACCGCAGTGTTCAGTTTAATGTCCAGGCCTTCTGCTAAAGCCACAGGCACACATGAGTAGCCATTCCTCACTGTCAGGTGGCTGCCAGTAAACTCAAAGTCGTCATCCTAAAGAGGACAGAAAAGGGCACGTTTTCACACTTTCTTAGTCTAACTGATGTCATTTATACTGAGTCCTAAAAAATAACGTTGAAAAAACACAAGCCTGTGAAAAGTCAATATTCTAAGACGTAAATTAAAGGGCAATCCCTCAGTCTTCAGCTACAGCTGCTCCAGGAAACTGAAGTGAAAAGAGAAAAAAAGCCAAAATGTCACTTATGGCTAACTCTGGGCAGTGAAATTAGGGCAGTTTCTTTTTTCCTGAGACAGACTTTCTAACATCAAAGCCCTACACCACCAAGCTCAGACTGCCCCTAGAGGGCAGGAGAGGGAAGAAAGCTGATTCAGTAAATTCAGATGGTTAGCTACCACAGCAGTTTTTGGCTTTTGCCTGCACTACAGATTTGGCAGGACATCACGATCACCATCCTAATTACATTTTCTGCTACATAACAGCAAAATCAGTTTTCATGCCCTAAACCTACAAGTTTTAAAGTTGAGGAAAACTTCCAAAACTAAAGTTGGTCAAACTAGACGAAGGCAATATAAGATTATAAAGACTCGCCCAAGATAATCCAAAGAGTGAAGAAGTCAAGATTTGGCCTGGAAGAATTCCCAAAATGATTTCATGTCTCTGAATTTACTGAAAAATCTTCCAAATGAAAAACTTTTGAAGGCTATTCATTAAACTTCTGGGAAAAACATACCACAATTCTTAGGAATTAGATAAAAATATATTGGGTTGGCAGCAGAACATTCACTACTTAAGTGACTGACTCATCTGTTCTCCATATGGATCATCACCTACATTCAAACTTGAAATGAATATATATTGAAACATCAGTGACTAGGATAGGAGTAATTCAGTATTTACATGAAAAACCATAAGGAAACTGGAAATTCTGCAAGATATGGACCACTAACAAGTCCAATCCTTACCATAACTCAAATTCTAAAGAATAGGAGGACAGGATCTAAAGATGAGGAAGTCAAAATAATTTTACTAGGAAAATGAATAGTAAAAATGAAAATATGTAAGTAAAATATAATATTTACTCCTGTACAATCTTAAGTCTGGCCCAAGTCTCAGATTTAGAGATTGGTTCATTAGGATCTAAGAAATGCTGTGATTTGTCACAAGTTCAAAAGTAAATCACACTGAAAATGCCTAAAAATAACTTAACAAAAGATGTGTGAGGCTGGGACACTGAAGACTGCAAAATACTGCTGAGATAAATTAAAGAAAGCCTAAATAAACGGAGAGGTATACCCTGTTCAAGGATTTGAAGACTCACTATTGTTAAGATGATAATCATATAGAAGGTAATTTTTGTAGAAACTGATAAGCTGGTTCTAAAATTTTATAGACAGGTCAACTTAAAAAAAAACGCGCAATTAAGAGTTGCAAGTTCTATCTGAGGCAATATGAGGATTATAGTCAGGGAGGCAGCATTTCAGAGGCTCTGGGAAACTGCTCCAGAGAAGCAGGGGGAAGCCGGTACCTACTGATTTTGGTAACTGGGGAGCACATGCAATCAAAGCACATATTTTTTGTAGAAGGTTACTGCTGGTCTCGTTACTGCGAGTCCCAAGAAGTGGACACCACCATGAAGGATTTTAGTGCTCTTCTAGATATGAGAAGATACAAGTGTGTGTGTGTGTGTGTGTGTGTGTACATGTGAGTGTGTACGTGCTCAGTTGTGTCTGACTCTCTAGGACCCCACAGACTGTATCCTGGAGTGGGTTACAACTTCCTCCTGCAGGGGACCTTCCTGACCCAGGGACTGAACCTGCGTCTACTATGTCACCTGCATTGGCAGGCGGACTCTAGCTCTGAGCCATCTGGGAATCCCAGAGATACAAGAGGTAGGCTAATAAAATCAGCTCCGGAAAATATCTAACTATCTGAAGACCTGTTCTGCCAGCTCTTCCCAGGGCACAGAGTGCCTCATTTCTGCTCTCTGCCCTAAACTCCTTTCAGAGGGTGTTGAAAATTAGCTGCAGCAGCACATAATTTAATCCCTGTAGAGGCAGATGGCAAGTGCCAATCTGTAGTTGAGAGATCTGAACTAGTCAAGACACTTTCAAAAAAGAACAAAGGTGAAGAATTTATACTACCTGATTTCAAAATGTCCTATAAAGCAACCGTAATCAGGACAGGGACAGTGGTGTATCGAGAGACAGATGCTGAGTGGAAGAACTGCTTCTCAACTAGTGTGACAAGACAAATGAAGAAGAAAGATGGTGCTGGGTTAATAAGATAACCATACAGAAAACTATGAACCACCCTCACCTCTCACTATATACAAAAATTAACTGAAAATGAGTCACAGACCTAAGATAAGAGCTAAATTCATAAAACTTTAGGAAGAAAATAGAAAATCTTTGCAGTCCCGGGTTAGACAAAGATTTTTCAGGATACAAAAAGCACAAAGCCTAAAAGAAAGAGTTGACAAATAGGACTTTATAAAATTAAAAATATTTCTCTTTGAAAGGTATCACTTAGAAAAGGAAAATGCAAGCTGCAGACTAGAAGAAAGAATTTTCACACCATAAACCTGACAAAAGAATTATATCCAGGATTTGAAGAACATAATGAACTCTTACAAAAGAACAAGCAACTAGATTCTTAAAAAGTAGGCAAAAGATCCAACAGCCTTTTCACCAAATAACTGACATATGAATGGCCAATAAGCACATGAAAAGATGCTTCACTTTATTGGTCATCACAGAAGTGGCAAATTAAAACCACAGTTACCAACCATTAAAACAGCTAAAAAATTTAAAGCTGGCAGAGTATCAAGTGCTGGTGAGGGTGTGGAACAACAGAACTTGCGTACACTACTGATGAGAACGTAGTTTGGAAAACACTTTAAAAATCTACTTCCCACAGTAAAAATTTTACTTCTAGATATTTACCCAAGAGAAAGACATGAATATTCATAGTAGCTTCAATTATTTATAGCCAAAAATGAAACAATCTAAATGTCCTTCAACGTACCAGTGAATGGATACATTCTGTGGCATATCCATACAATGGATATGAATATTACTAAACAACAAAAAGAACAAACTACTGATACATACAACAACAATGAATCTAAAAATGAAAAGTCACACACAAAAGGCTATGGATGGTACAATTATGTACTGTATGGTTCAATTTACATGTAATTCTAGGAAAATCAAAACTATAATGACAGAAAGCAAATCAGTGGTTGTGCAGGGCCAGGAGCTGAAGGGCAGGGGACTGACTGCAAAGGGGCAAAGAGAAGACTTCTCAGGATGACAGCGACATTCTACGTCTTAAATGCGGTGCTGGTTCATAATTATTTAAGTCTGGCAAAATATCAAACTGCTCACTTAAAATAGGTTTTATTGTATATACATTATAACTAACTAAAGCTGTTTAAAACTACAGATACAGACAAATTAACAGTTACTCTTAGGAGCCGTCTCAGAGACATGTGCAACAAAATACATGACAAAGGAATTTTTACCTGATCCCAGTGCTTAAGGGAGAGTGTAGAGAGAGGTGTGGCATTAGCGAATTCAAGATTTGCAAAATGCCAATCAAGTATCTGTCTGTCTCTTGATGAGAGATATACATCACTGCAAAATGAGAACGAAGGAGCTCAAGGTTACTAAAGGGCATTACTACCATTCTCAATGGGCTGATGTTGATGATTTCAGTGGGACTATGCCTTTTATGAAGAAATTCTAAGTCAAAAAACAAGATCTCGTCTGTCTTATTAAACCCTTCGTTGCTAGTGCCCAGGAGCAATGCCAAGCTTCCTACATAAAGCAAAGACCTAACTGTAATTCAGATAAAAAAATTAGTTTGGAAAAAAAAGTCTTCTTTATACTATTTACCTTGCCTTATAAAAGCTGGCTTGTATCAATTTTTTTGTTGTTTTATATTCTGAATAAAGCAATTTTTTTTAAAGCAAGACGGGCGGCATCCCTGACTAGAGAAACAGCAGATGTATGTGGACGACAGATGCCCCGTGGAGCACTTGTTACCATGTAAGGGCACACTGTCAAAAATCCAACAGAAATTGAGGGTAACACTTTTCTGATCCCCAGAATTTTGAAATTTAAAGCAATACCACCTTCTACCTCACTCAAAGACAATTTTCATTCATATATCAAATCTTATGGGAAAAAGCTATCATTTTAAAAAGATACCTTGATTTAAGTATCTAGGACACTCTTACATATTAACATATAAGAACAGAGTACTAAGGAACCTGACAAGTAGTCCTATGTGCACAGACACTTTCCATTCATGAAATAATCTAAAATGCATTCACTGAACATACACAAAAGGCCAGGGTCTTTGTAATCTTCCTTCTAAATTTAACAGAAAGAAGAGTAAAAGTTATCTGTTGGTTCATTTACCTTGGGGGATTGGCTTCCAACTCTTGAAGTTTTTCTTCTAGTTTTCCTTGTGTTTCTGCTAATTCATCATATTCCTGATGGAATTAAGAGAACCAGGTTGGTCAGGATGAGTCAGAGATGCACCTAGTTATTGACACCACAGAGGGTCAGGCCTGCAACACATCCCTGTTCAGGTCAATTACAAGGGTGCCTTCGCTGAAGGCTGGGTCAGGGTGCAGGGATAGTTGTTCCTGAAGACAAGTTACAATGTAACAGGGGAGTGTGGTGGGGGAAGAGGATGATGAAGAAATATACTAGTATGTTACACAGTAAGGATAGAAAAGAATAGTGACTTTCACTTCTCATGCATTTACTGTGTCCCTAGTATGAATAAGCACTTCAGATCCCTCTACAAGTGAGGTAGTACTTAACACCATGTCACAGATGAGGTGACTAAGGGGTCACATGGCTAGGAGATTCTAAGTTAAGAAACTTCAACCAGACAGTCTGACTCCAATAACTCTGAAGTCCACCTTCATTAACATTACTCTAAACTGTCAGGGATAAACTATCACAGAGGGCTAAACTGAGATGTAGGTAAGCTAAAGGATGATACTGTGAAAACAAGGTAGGAATTCTGCAGAAAAAGCAGACAAAACTAATCCATTAAGTCCCCAGAGCTCCTGTGTACCAAACCCCCTTCTTACTACTCTAGGCACCTATGACTAAACTTCCCAGATCTATACTTATCACTTAGGATTCCAAATAAAATCAGCGAGGCATATATGTATATCATACCTTGCACAGGGCAGTTAGATCCCTGTGTTTGCTTTTCACTAAGAACTCAGCAGTGATATCTCTGGGTGGTTTGACTTCAGATGCTTCTTTGTACTGCTGATGGAGTTCTTTAATTTTCTCTTTTAAATTCACCATCTAAGAGAGAAAAATACAAATTTACCATTGCAGACAGTGACATAATTCATCACCAAAGCATGTGCTTTGGCTCCTCCCCTAAACTGCTATCATACCAAAACAGGGTTACAATGCAACATCTATGGAATTACGTACCTCTTCCAAATGATGATATTTAAAACAGGAAAAAATCCTATATGAACACAGAGGTGTCACATCACTATCAGATAAGCAGGATTGACTCTGTCTTCCAAAACAAATGGGAGAACTAGGAGTGTCCCATTAATAAAAATAATGTCCCCAAAATAAAAATTAATTAAAAATTTAACTACCAGGCAAAAAAAGACCTGTCACCAATAAAACATAGTTTTAAGAAACAGATTATCATGATTTGTTTTTTAAATACGTAAAAGGTCAAATCATCACATGAAGAACCTTAAGGAACCATTCCCAGTGTCATTTTTCCAGGTTTCTGAGGGAAAGGTTGAAGCCTGAAACTAGGAGCTCCACAGCTCTGGCTATTCCTTCTCTGCCACTCTTCTCGCTTCCTCCACACCACAGTTCATGAAGGAGGTATGCCAGAGACCTCTTCATTTGACAAGATGAAGGCATGAAGCATAGTCTAAGAGTGAAGCCAAAAGCCCACTCAAAAGATGCACCCAGATTTTGCAATTATAAAGCCTCCAATTTGGCAGGATGGGGAGAAACAAACGGTTTCCCAGTCTGGAGCTGGGGCTTTAGAAGGTGAATACACAAGGGCCCCCTTGTTCATACCACTGAGGAATAGCCTCATATTGGTACCTCAAGTGAAATCCTTAGGCCAGCGAATTATGATCCTGGCTACTGACATGTGGTCTTCATCGTGGGCTCTTGGCCCAGCACAGCTGACCTCCCTTTCACCCTGGACTCCAGCAGAGGGCACTAGGCCAGGCTGGCAGCAGCGAAGGCAGCCTGTCACAGGACACATCTGCTCCCCCAGCGGCAATCACCATGCCGCGCTGCGAGACTGACAGACAAAACACAGAATTTTACCTTATTAAGAAGTTCCTTCAGTTCCTCCTGAGTTTTCACTATCTTCTTCCAGTGTTCAATCTGCTCATCTTTGACATGCTTTTCTTGTAACCTGAAGAGACAATATATGTGCTTTGGTCACACAGCTAGCCGTGCTGTGTAAGACAGGTGCCCATCCAAAACATCTGATGGTATCAAGGCCCACTAAAATTTCTAATGCTTTGGAATAAGAAAGTTGGCTGGTGGCAAATTATTTTCTAGGTTATGTTAAATACAATCAATTCAATACCATAAAAGACATGAATTTTACAACTGAGAGAGCCTTAAGGATCATGTATGGACTTATTTTAAAAAGATTTATTTTTAGATTTAACTATGACATGAAAATAAGTGAAAACTAGCTCAATTAAGACTTGATGGAAACTTAAAACATTGCCCAGCAATCTATATACAAAATCCACAATACAATAAGCAGCATCAAAGTACTTACTGAATGACAACTTCCAATGCCTGGCCAAGGGACACAGGCTTATTATTGAGGACGTTGAAGTCCAGCTGATGACTAAGGTAAGACGTAGCTTCTAGCAACCGGTTAAACTCTTGCTCTACCATTTCATCTTTCTCCTTAGGAACCTGAAAATTCGAAGTAGGGCAGAGTTGGTCCTTACAAGACTAAACATAATCATCCATGAAAACACAAATGCTCTACAGTTTAAAAGGTCAAAATATGTATCTCAAAGGAGAAACCTTTGAGGACAATGATTCAAACTATCTTTTCTATGAAGTGGTCAATTCCATTAATGAGATATGAAATGTTTCAGCCCGGATACTCCCTATTCTCATGATTCTGCCCTCAGAGCTGGAACTCCACATCTATGAACAGCCCCAGGAGTCACACTGGTGGTGAGTGAAGTCATGTGGAGCATAAGGTGCCCTGGAGCTGACATGCACTGAGATAAGCTGGGTTGACATGCAGACAACACACTGGCAAAGTCCTGGAGAACAAAGGCTGTCAACACACCCAAGCACCTTGTAAATAAGGGCAGGATGAAAAAAATAAGAACAAGGTATGTGCTTCCCCTCTAAGATAACAATTTCAAGTAGGAGTAGTGAAGAGAGAAGTGAAATTCAAGGCTATTAATAAGAACACAACAGCATCTTAATTCTCAGACTACTAGTGTTTTACGGCACCAATTAGGTTCAAGGTTGAATATCCAAAGCTCTTACTATGAGTGACTGAGGTACCAAGTCTGGCTCACTACTGTGGGGGGAAGAGAACAGATTGTAAAGCAGATCATTAAGCTGCAAGACCATGCTCCTAAATCCCTGCTGTGCCCCTGCCTAGTGATGCCATCAGTTAGCTGACACAAATCCCTCTGCTAATGCTCAATTCAGCCCCAAAGTAAACTGTATCTGCAGTTCCACTGCTGAATTCATGGGGACAGTGAGAAGAAAAAGTATGTCTAAGGAAAGCATCTCTTGCCATAATAAGTTAGGCATGGGAAATTGGTTTCAAAATTTAGAATTTCACTTTACAATCAACCTAAAATTGGTAATAAGAAACAAAACATAAAAGTTCTAATAATCACCAAGGTGAGGAAGAATAATCGTTTACAATTAGAGGTAACTATTATGAACCAGATCATCACAGTAAAACTCTTGCTTCTCATTTGAAACACCTTCACTTTTGCCCTTCACTTTTGCCCTTCACAATTAAACAGATGATTTCAAAGCACTAGCCTCTGCCCTCTCAATGATGAGCTGCACAAGTAACTCTATCAAATCAGCCATGGGATGGCAAAAAGAATATGGTGAGAAGTATAATCTGCACCAAAACAAAGGGGAAAGGTCGGCACTTCTCCTTCTGAACTGCAAATATGAAAGGCACTATAACTGATTCAATCAAAATAATCTTTTAAAGCATCAAGTTCTAAAAGATCACACATGGAAAACATCAGGAAATCTTTGTGAATTAGAGAATCCCCCTGAGCCTAAGAAATAGATACCTGGGAGAATCTTGGTTTATGTTGAGAAACAAGGCTTTTAATCAGGCTCTGGAGCTTGGTACCATTTATGTATGAGGATGGTACCCGGGACTTGGTGGATCAAACACAGCTGACCTACCCCACCCCATTCAATCCCTCAGCCAAAGAGAGGAGCTCTTGGTGACCTCCCTACTTGTTCTGTTTTCACAGCTATCAGAGCAGATGGAAGTGATCTTCATGTCAGGAATTTCATTTACTTTCCCATCAGTTACTTTTCCTCATTGACATGATACAGTGAAGGTCATATACAGGTCATACACAGAGAAGCTCAAAGCAAAGCTGAAATTTTGCTTGGTGTTAATTCCCTCAAATGATGTTACAAAAGATGATTCTAAAAACTCTAAATCTGGTGCTCCTTTAAAAAAGGAAACAATTACATTTTCAATATGAAACCTCCATATTTATGAAACCTTAACTGATCACAGATGCAATCTGAAGGACTGCTTTTCCTGGAGTACAAATGGTGATATTTCTATACATGGCTTCTAAAATGCCTAGCAAGAGGATGCTATAGCAGCAAGAGGGGCCAGATCACATATGCCACTACAATAGGGCAGAACATGCCAATACATATGTGTGCAAATGGTACTAATTAAAGCTCTTCCAGTGCCAACTGTATGGCTTGCTTTAGACAAGCTTTAATCTTTGCAGCTAGAGTGACAGTCACATAGGGAAGTTCATACTGAAAAAGTATGCAGCACTTCAAGGCTCAGTAACTGGGTTCCAGGGTGTGTGGTAGAGAAATATTTAAAGGGACACTGTCAAGGTTAGAGGGACCAAATTTGACCTTTTATTCTTCCCTCTGTTTGCTGAGCGGCCCACTTGATTCATTACACTTTTCCCTTTAGTCCACCCACGCCACCACAAAAAACTTGACTTTTTACATGCGCTTTCAATGACAAAAACTCAAATGGTACCAGTCCAACATATAGGCGCAACTCTACAACAACAAACCAGTGTGAATGTATGATGGAGAGGATCTTTGGAAGCGAAAGATTTACGTTTCAAGCTTTTAATGGGTTATTGTAAACAGTGAGGAAAATGACTTGAAAAATTATGAAGAAAAAATACCTTGACAGTGTCCTTTTAACCAGTGCAGCAGAGAGAGAAATAAACTGTAAATAACAGCCCAACAGCCACATCAAGTTTAGTTTTGTAAGACAGCTGTAAAATCAAGGCTTTAAACACACAGCATGACAGAAGCATTGTTAGCTCAGAAGCTGCAACCACCAGAGAAATAAGGAACAGACTGTACAGAGACTAAAACGGGAAAGTCAAGGCATAGAAATGGGCAAAAGAAAGGCACTTTTGGTGGTGGTGGAGGGTAGGGAGGTCAAGGGAGATGGTGTCAGAAAGCAGAGAATAAAGCAAAATTCAATAAAAGAGAAAAAGAAAAACACAGAACAGCAACAAGAACACAGAATCAAACAAACAAACACCAAACCAAAAGATCACCACCAAACCTGATTGACATCAGAATGACATGACTACATCCCTAGAGCACTCTCTAACCTAGGGTTACAGTCAACAGTAAGGCCCCATCCATTATCTGCTAGTTAAGCAGTTATAGCAATGTTGGTGGTGAGACCAGGGACACCTTTGATACCTGGATTTTCTTCCCATTAATTTAAAAATTCCACTTTGAAATTAAAGAAATTATTTGGAAAACAGTAAATAAAATACTTGTCCATTAGGAAATCAATACTGACTGGGAGAAAACCAAAATGTGTTTTTGATGTATTTAAACCTTGAATCTGTTTCTAAAATTAAGCTAATTATGTGTGTTCCAGTCGACTCAGACAATGAAAAGAATTCTAGCAACTGACTACCTTAAGCACTCCGTAAATACTGTTTCAGGTCATTTCTTTCCTTTTGGTGAGAACCCTTGGACTCTGTTAGTTTCACAAATAATTATGAAAGGATGTTGAAATATTGGCACTTTAAATACAAGTCTCAATAATTTTAGTTTAATTTGACCATTCTATTCTAGATTCTTAGTTGCATTCTGAGAGAGGAACTCAGCAAATGATTACCAGGGTTATTAGCACCATGTCTGACGGCAGCTGGATTTCTGTATTACACCACAGTGAGAACAGAAAACAACAAACTATGCATTCTTTTGGGAAAGAATCACTGATACAGTTTTCTAGCAAAGAATCAAACAAAAAGGCTATCACTTGAAACAGATTTTATGATTCTTCAAAACCATTTATTTCTCTACAAGTCTCCAAATAAATGGTTCCTTTAAGACAAAAAATTTGGTGAGTCTCACTCCTGTAAATGGATTATAATCCTGACTGTTTTGGTCCTGTAGATTATATGGAGCATCCCTGAACACGGTCATGAGTTGGGGAGACCATGTGACTGGCCCATGCAGAATAAATTTTGGGAAAGCCAAGCAACTTTCTGACAGGGTCCCTGATTCTGCAAGAAGTCATTGCAAAGAAAAGACAGCTCTCAGTTCTATCTCTGGTTGCATTCTATCATCACAAACTTGATAGGTCTTCAAAAACACTGCCTATATGTCACACTTCCAGTCAGCGTAAGTCCTCTAGCAGCAGAGCAAAAATGGAGTTAAGGTACACCTAAGTTCCAGGTACTCAAAAGTTCTGACATTTAGCAAGAGGAATCCTCAGGAAAAAGTAACACACTGAAAAAAGTTGTAATGACCAAATCTGGCCAACAGAGGTTACAGTCAATCTCCACCTCTCCCATCTCCATGCACTTCTGTAATTACGATAAAACGAAACACTGGTTCCTTTGGTAAATCGTGGAAGAACAAATTTACATCTGAGGGGTTTCCAAGTCAGATTCTGAAATAGCTAAGGGAAATTAAAGATAGATATTGACCCTAAAGGGGGAATAAGGCAAGGGGTCTATCCTTAATCTAAATATTGGGTAGGCCAAAAAGTTCATTCAGGTTTTTCTGTAACATCGTACAAAAACCCAAATGAACTTTTTGGCCAACTCAGTAAAATTCAGTGTGATTCTGTAAATGGAGACTGCTGCCTCCCTCCCCGTTTAACTCATAAGATACTACCTGACTTTCCTAGAGCAGGGACTCAGCCACGTGGAGATGGACACATGGCATGTCCAAGGAGTGCACTAGCAACCTCCAGCATGCCAGCGCTTGGTAAGCTCTTGTTAAATGAACAAAGTACTATAGTTTGGAAGAGTAAAGTCAGTATTGTAACTATATTTGAGGGAAAAATAACTATTTTGCAACTTCAGAAACAATAAAGGAGGGCATGAGATTTTTACATAAAAAGCAGAGACTGGCAGTCATGATTTTCAAGGGTAGAGAAAGACTGCCTTAAAGATACCAAAGATGTTTCCAAAAAGGATGATGAAAACTGAAAAGGCCAAGACACCTGTGTCAAAAGTATAGTAACCTAGACACCACTCTATATGAACACAACTGGAAACCTGGTAAGTTACAATGGTCAATGAGTATACCCAGTCAATAGTATTTATAAGAAGCCTGGTATGCATTACCTTTCAAGAGTTACCTTTCTTCCTCTGAGTCATTCCCAGGCAGAAAATCAGGATGTGTTTCTCCAAGTAGTTACTGAGCCTTTGGATCTCACTTGATAAAAACAACACACACACACACACACACACACACACACACACACACACACACACCCTCTCTCTCTCACATTAGCTCACTTAAGATACCTATTCATGACTCAAAAAAAGCTGAAAACAAAACTAGAATCTAAAGCCCCCTAGTTACTAGCTGGTATATAGGAGATGCAGAAAACACTCAGCCATTTCTCCAGTCTCCCCCACAATCCAGGTTTTCAGACCTCCCACTGGTAACTCCCAAAATGCTACTGAAAACATGAATTACCCTATTTTCCAACCTTATCCATTCAAAACTAATTACAGCATAATTCAGAGTATGACTCCATCATCAATTAACGATGACAATGAGCAGGGAAACTGCTTCATTAGCTCGGACTTTTTTTATAGGCTTGGAAGATACTTCTATTAGTTCAACATCCTAGCTGCCAGTGCAGGACCAGAGAGAAAGGAGAGGCAAGCTCTTCCAGGGATTCTTGTGACTGATTAAAACAATAACAAGGTAATATAACAAAACTACTTACTACATGATTTTTTTCCTATAACAGCAAAATGCCCGGACATCATAATATGTTCCTAAGACAACACTGTTGCTGTGTAGCCACTGAGTCATGTCCGAGTCTTGGCAATCCCATGGACTACAGCCTGCCAGGTCCTTCTGTCCATCGGACTTTTCAGCCAAGAATACTGGAGTGGGTTCCCATTTCCTTCTCCAGGGGATCTTCACAACTCAGAGACTGAACTTACATCTCCTGCATTGTCAGGTGGGTTCTTTACCACTGAGTCACCAGGGAAGCCCTTAAGACAATATTACAAGTGGTATTTATAACTGAGTTTGCTGCTGCCCTTGTACAGGATGAAATAATTAATTTTTGTGTACTAACAAAAGAACCATCTAATTACCCTCTTTTCCACTGACGCTATCCAGAGAGAATGGGGCAACACAGAGCATTTTGTATAATCATTTACTAAAGAAAAAGCAATGGCTGAGTGAGTTATCATCACTCTAGGTGGGCCTCCATAGAGTAACTATTAAAAAAAAGTTCTTTTAATAAAAAAAGGAGACTCAGCTGATGCAGTCAGACTGACAGAACTGCACACCTCTCCTGCCCCAACCTTCCCTGGACTCTAGCCAGGCAGAACGGCACTGAACACCAGGGGAAGTGGGATGGACTGGGAGACTGAACTGACATATACACATGACTATGTATAAGGCAGGCAACTAGTTAGAACCCACTGTATAGCAAAGGGAACTTACTCGGTGCTCTGTGGTGACCTACTTAGGAAGGAAATCCAAGAGGAGAGAGATGTCCACGCGGCTGAGTCTCCGCCATACAGTGACTAACACACGCTGGAAAGCGACTACACTCCAATAAAACCTTTTTTTAAGTTTAAAAAAATAAAAGCTAAAACACCAGACAAGAGACCTGACTCTACAATTTATTGACTATGGTGATGTCAGGCAAACACATGTGTGTGCTTTAGATTCTTCCCCTGCAAAATGAGGAAACAAAGCAACTAAGTGAGATTCCCTAGACTTCTAAAGCCATTAAACGTATCTGACTATGAGTATAAATTAATCTGGCTATAAGCCAAAAGCCAGTCTGCTAGTCAATAGGTATCCATTCCTCCTCTGAGCTAATTACAGGAACAGCAAGATACAGAAACATTAATAGGGCAAGCAGAACTCAAAGCTACAAAGAAATTCTTTCCCCAAATTTAACAATGCCTAAAGAATCCTCCTTACTATTTAGCTGCATCACCAAATACAAACCAACCAAGAAAAATCCTATAAAGATCAGAGCTGAATGACAATAAAATGCTGAAAACCACACATTAGCTTAACAACTGTTTACTAGAATGCTATTCAAAGAGCTGGTCCTGGTGAGAAAAGGAGCTTATACCAGAACATAAACTAAAGCAACATTTCTTCCACTGAGAAAAGTCCTGCTTCCAAAGCCATCTGAACTAACACTGTGGTTGGTTAAAAGGATGCAGGTTTATTTACACTCTGGCACAAGATATTTCTCTCATCCCATACTAGTAACCAACAGTTCATGAACTGGCAGCTGGTTGTAGGCCATATCTGAGTGAATGTTGCTATACTATGGGCTTCCCTGGTGGCTCAGATGGTAAAGAAACTGCCTGTAATGCAGGAGACCCGGGTTTGATCCCTGGGTTGGGATGATTCCCCTGGAGAAGGGCATCTATTTGGAAACAAGTGTTTTTCAAAATGTTTTACAGCTTACCTAATATCACAAAAGCAGACCATTCCTCTGGATATCTCTACTAGGGGAAAAAAACCTCACATTTTACTGTCAGAAAGACTAAATGAGACTGTTCTACATTCAGGAAAGTCAAAAGAAAAAGATAGTGTCTCAAAGATCAGTGATAATCTTTGGCTTGGATTCCATTACTTCTTGAGGATGTAATATCAACTTCAAAGACCTTGCTTCCACAATTCAATTCTCTAAATTTATTGTCTATCTACCTAAAACATCTATCTGGTCATGTCACTTCCCCCGCTCTCAACAAGACTGGATAGATGAAACTAGACTGGAAAAATGGGAGCCTATTATAGTACTCTTTCTACATTTGTATATGTTTGAAAATTTGTGTACAAGTCCCACCAGACTGTAGGGTCTTATATGGCAGGGACTATCTTATTCATTTCTGCATTTTTTTTTAAAACAGATCTTTGCAAGTAATAGCAGTTTATAGAATTGCTGAATTAACATCTACTTCATCTTTTTCTATTTTATTCTGTTGGAAGGCTGCCTGCCCTTTTCCCTCACCCCCAGAAAAGCCCTGGAAGTAAATTTGGATCCAGAATGGTGGGGATGGGAATCAAAGCATTCCCTGAAAGTCTGTACTTCTCTGATATGAACCCTATAAAAAAGTCTCTTCCTAAAGGTAGACAGTAAAAGGCAAGGATGTCCCATAGGACCTATGACAAAAAATTTTGGAGTTGGAATGTTACCACTTTTAATAACAGTAGCTACACTGCCATATACATAGCAAACCTTCTCTTCCTTGATATATAAAGGTGATAATGAGTTTATATCCTGAGAACTAGAGACTCTCTTACTCCTAACAGGGGAGTTGGCAAAACTTCCACTGAAAACAAACTTCTGAGTTTCTCAGACCCCTAAAAATCAGAACTGACATATAACCTATCAGGCAGTTGTTAAAACCCTCCCACTCTCCCATACTAAACATCACTGTCGTGTTACTGCCATCTTAACTACAGGAAGCTCCCATCTGGGCTTCCCTGGTGCTCAGTGTAGTCGATCCCTGAGTTGGGAAAATCTCTTGGAGAAGAAAATGGCAACCCAATCCAGTATTCCTGCCTGGGAAATCCCATGGACTGGTGAGCTACAGTCTATTGGGTTGCAAGAAGTGACTAAACAACAACAACAACAAATACCTCTGATAAACAAATACTTTCACCTACCTAAGCATCAATTTAGTACTACCATTCACTATGAGCTCATCAAAAACCTGACCGTCTGAACATAACACTGAAACCATGAGGAGCACACGAAGTTAAAGCACACGGTGGGAGGCACAATACAAAGAGATGAAGAGTCAGGTGGTCAAGTCCACAGCTCTCTTAGCGTATAGGTGGCCACAGCCAAATAAAAAGATCAATCACTTGGCTAGCCTAAATTTCATTAAGCATTTAAACACCTAAGCAGCTATTATAACTCCTTCCTATATAGCTCAAAGTTAAGAATCTGAATAAAGCCACATTATTTCTACCCTCAGTTCATATTTGTGTGTGTATATTCATCCATATATTTCCCCAAAATTGCTTTCAACTGAACCAAAGAAACTGTATAAAGTTGTTTGCTGTCGACTTACAGCTTGTCCATTCGCTTCATAAAGTGGGCATTTTTGCTTGATCTTGGCCAGTTCCATATTTACTTGTTTGCTGACCACAGCCATGGGATTCCCTCCTAGAAAAAACTCCAACAATTAAATTCACATACCTTATGAAAAGGGAACAAAAACTTCAAAGCAAAAGTATTTTTACTCAAATTTTAAAATATTAAAGCTTAGGGTATGTGAATTAATACCAAAAAAATGCCCAAAGTAAAACAAATATATAAGTAAGCACAAAGAACAAAGCAAAACACTGTGTGCGTGTGTGCTCACTCAACCTATTACCAAAAATCAGGTAACATTACAGATCCTTCTAGACTTTACATGCATAAAATTAGATGTTACATACAAAAGGATCATAACACACGCAGTTTTATAATCATTTTTCAACTTACCAATAAATTGTGGGCATAATTTCATGTCAATATGAAGCTACAAATTTTTAGCAGCTGGACAATTCTCACTGCCTAACAATTTAATCTTCTAATCTGTGGTTTCTAACATTCTGTTACCCCACACTGAAAATGTTTTGAACACAATATGGTTCACTTGTCTATTTTCTTTAATTTCCTAGAACTGGATCTGCGAGGGCAAAATCTACACACATTTTAAATCATGCACATACTGACGTATCTTTTCAGAAAACTGTTTGCCAATTTACCTTTCACTAACACTGAGAACAGGCTTCCCAGCTGGTGTAGTGGTAAATAACCCACCTGACAATGCAGAGACACAAGAGACACAAGTCTGATCTCTGGGTGGGGAAGATCCCCTGGAGAAGGAAATGGCAACCCACACCACTATTCTTGCCTGGAAAATTCTACAGACTGAAGAACCTTCCAGGTCGTCACAAACAGTTGGACATGACTCAGCAACTGAGCACATACACACAAGACTAAGAACAGAATCCTAACCAATATATTTAAAAGCTGAATATGACTTTATAAGATTAAACCATTTTGGGAGTCTCAAACCCTGAAATCATAACACAAAACTAAGAACTACTTACCAAGACCTGTTACTACCATGGCTCCAAGGTCAGCTACATAGTTTCCTTTGCGAAATGTAGCAACTCGTCCACCCACACGATCCTGTTTTTTAAAAATTAAATGGCTAAAATTAATTCCAGTTTAATCATAATAACCTGGCAAAGTTCCATCTCAGACCTCTTTGATAACTTAAAAAGAAAAAGGTGTAGAGTTTACATGGAGTATGATGTTAGCTCAAAAAGCAAATGAAGTTTAACTATTTGAGGGAATGGTAGATAATGAATGATACACAAAAGGAACAGAATTAAGTGCTATGAGGTAGGAAAAAATTTAATAGTCAGAAGACATCAGTTATAGGTACTACTAGCTCTCAACCCCAATATCTCTAATACCACTTACTGTAAAGGCTGAGCAAGAGCCACCCACATAGAAACTACCTGCATACAAATGTTAACACTTCAGGTCACTTTCCTGCCACCGTGTTCTGACTCTTGGCCCCCACCGTCACAGTCAGCTGTGACTGGCTTGACAGACAGCTTCTCTGAGAAACGCCTCTTCAGTGCAGCCTCATGCCCAAGGGCAGTGTCTACTGAACATGAGCCGCTGACAATACCTCTCATTTCTAAACAGGCCCAAGTGTTATCTTAGGTGACTGGAGATTTTCAAGTATAGGGAAATCTTACTGAGTTGCAGTGAAACCTCAGTCATGAGTTACATGAGTACTCTGTAAACTCCAGACCAACAAATGAAAAAAAGCAAAACAAAACAAAAATCTATACACATGGGTAGGAATCATAATGATCCTCCATTATTCTTCACTGTATTCTGAGTACATAGGATACACAGGCACACAGATATTTTCCAATTAAGGAGTAAAATATTATTTTTAGTAAGACTGTATCACAAATTGTTTGATTTCCCCATACTATGTGAAAAGAACATTTAAAAAAATTAAATTTAGATTGTACTGCACAAAACATTTTGAAAGCTTTTATAAAATTTTAGATGGTTTAGGTTATGTGAGAAGTGTTTTTTAGTTGTTGCTATTTTTTTTTAAGTGGCAGGAGTCCACAGAGGTCTTTAAGCCACTGAAAGGTAATTAAATTTCAGAAATTACTCATGAAAATGATTTGAATAGTGACGTCCTAATGGGATGTTCTTTTTTCCTACTCTGTGCCATCATCCTCGTCCTCCTCCCGCTTCCACTCCTCTCTCTGGACTGATGGTAAGGAGCCAGTATCTTGGGTTCACCAAGGCTGTAAAAGACGGCTGCTGCCTGAGAAGCAACTCCTCTCCCTCACTATCGAACAGAATATAGTCACCTTGTTCCACCACTAAAAGTAACTACATTCTATAAAGGGTATTCCAACAAAGCCCCCCAACTGAAAGTTGCTAATTGTAAGAAACAATGATCTGAAAATATATACCAAAGGGCTATACAGATTATTCATAAAATCTAAATAATCACTGAGTCCTTTTCTAAGTTTTGTCAAAAATGCTTTACTCGATGTAGTTATTAACACTATCAAAATACTTTATTATTTAAATCAGTTTGGTTTAGTTCAATTTGTATGATTCCTTAATTTATCACAGATAATTTCCTTACCATATTTTCTTCAGGTTGGGCTTCTAAACCCAAACTAAAATTCTTACCCTGGCTTCCAGAAGTGTGACATCCATTCCAAAACTTTGTAACTGACGAGCTGCTGCCAAGCCTGAGACCCCAGAGCCTATGATGATTACCTTTCCTGTCTTCTTAGCTGAAATTAAAAAATGAACAAAAATTAAAACACTATTATAGTTTTAATAGTTTTTATCATTTTTTATCAAGAAAATTTCTAAATTCTTTACATTATGATATCTCACAAAGTAAATAATTCAGTTATTTTCAAAATATGAAAACTAAATGAATACAAATTAACAAATATCTGAGACTTATACTTTAACTCAATGTTGAAAATTTATAAATGGAATTCTTTATCTTAAAATTTACTTTCTCATTACTTCAGTCATGTGCTTCAGTGTCTGTGACTGTTGGTAAACTTATTATGCATAATCTCCCATAATTACCTCACAATTATAACTAGGACAATTTGAGCAGTCAACCAATTGATTCTTAAAGCTATTTTCTATAAGCTGTACTTCTGCAGTCTTTCCTTTTCTTAAAAATTACTAAAGCAGAGGGGACTTCTCTGGTGGTCCAGTGGTTGGAACTCTGTGCTCTCAATGCAGGGGACACGAGTTCAATCCCTGGTCAGGGAACTAGACCTCACATTCCACAACTGAGAATTCGAATGCTGCAGCTAAAGATTCCACATGCTGCAACTAAAAATCCCATATGCCACAACTAAGACTAGGCATAGCCAGATAAATATATAAATTTTGAAAAATTATTAAAGCAAAAAAACAAATGTATTATAAACAGGTGTGTGTGCTTAGTTGCTCGGTTGTGCCCGACTCTCTGTGACCCCGTGGACTACAGCCACCAGGCTCCTCTGTCCACAGGGATTCTCCAGGCAAGAGTACTGGAGTGGGTTGCCATGCCCTGCCTCCACAGGATCGTCCCAACCCAGGGGTCAAACCCAGGTGTCCCACATTGCAGGCAGATTCTTTACTGTCTGAGTAACCAGCGAAGTGCAAGTAGACAGAGAGATGCATTAATTCTCAGAATATCCCTATCTTCTGATTCCTGGCAGACATTATCCAGACACCATTAAAGGGGTAAACAGCATTAAAAAATATAAAAATGCAACCCTTAGCACTGCATTAAATAACTGCTCAATGAGAGAAAACAAACTTCCTACTTTCATAACTGATCTTTTTCATTTTTAATAAACTTTGTTTTTTTCTTAAATTGGAAATTCATATCTTTTACCAAGTATTTTGTCAAACCAGAAATTATAGGAAATTCATATTTATAAGATTTTACTTTAAATTTGACTTACAAGAAGATAAGCTTGGGAATATTCTGGCTCTAAATATGGATTCAGAAATCAAAATAAAATGCTAAAAGCCTCCTGGAATCTAATCTAAAACAATGAAGTTCATTGGCCAGTTCTTACTTGGGAGTGGCTTTATCCTCTTATAGATGCCGAAGTTGATAAGACCATGACGCTCTAAATAACTGTGAACTCGGTGGACAAGCACAGTATCACCTACAGAAAAATTAATTTAAATACATGTTTATCTTTTTAGCACTTTAAATGGAAAACTCTGATTCTTCTTTATTTCTCCATCATGAAGTCATTCTATTCATCTTTTCCATAAGCTTCAAGTCATATGACTTCTTTAGAAAAGTGATTTTGAGAACTGTTAGTCTGCATGGTAGTCCAAAACACCTATCACATAATCTTGAATTTTTAAGAACGACATCCCAATACAGATGAAATGAAGGACAAAACCAACCCTTTAAATAGTAGTATTATGCTCATTTACTTTGGGAAAAACTTTACAAGACCACTGGTGGCAAGTGGGAAATGAGAAATCAAAACAGAGAGCCAACTGAATGCCACCAAAGGACTCTGTGGATTAACGTTGGAACACAGGTCTAGAGAGATTATTAGCAATTTCTTGAACTCATTCACCTGTCAACACAAATAAAAATTGAGAACAATTACAAACACATGGAACAGTTTTGCTAAAAGGTTCACTTTTGCACAGCACAGGTGTGAAATAAAATTAATATATGTATGAAAATTAATTAACAAATTCATTATCAAGGAGCCATGAGCTTCTGGAAGAAAATGTCAATTTTCACAATTCAGTTCAAGACCAGTCCTATGGAAAATGCTACTTACTGTTGTAAGGCGCTTCTAATTGTTGGAGAGTAGCTTCAAATGTCAGCTGAATCTTTGGATTATCCAACCACAACTGCAACTGTAATTGAATGATAGAAAACTGTATTATATACAAACAGACATACTATTTGATTGCCTCAAATACGGGTTTTCCTTTCTATTATACAGCAAGGTTTTTATTTCAGACAAAGAAACTAATGAAACATAAAACCATTGCAAATGAGTGAATAATTAAAGAAGCTGGGAAATATTTCGCCTATCAAGTAACTTGCCAAGATCATTCAGCTAGGGAGCAACAAGGATTTAAACCTAGATCAGGTATCTCCAGAGATACTGAGTTGATACAAAATTAAATGATCAATTAGATATGTGGTGATGTGTGTGCACAAAAGGTAACTCCTCAGTTATCAGCCTGCACAACTAAATGAATTGGTGTACCATTTACTGAATGAGGGACACTGAAATAAGAGATCATGAGTTGAGTTTAAAGACAATAAGAGGAGCTGAAAGACTGGCATCTAGATATGTAGCTGGAGTTCAGAGAGTTGAGGTTTAGAGCCTCTTGCTTATGGGTAAAACTGAAGTCAAGTGAGAAGAAGAAGGGCTCCTAGCAGAAAAGTACAGGGGAGAGAGGGGAGGACCCTAAGGGCCTCCAACCAGTTCACATAGTTGGCCTGTTGTTAAGGACAAACCTACAAATCATTCAGAGAAGACAACAACCAGGGAAGCAAGAGAAAAACTAGAATACTGTGTTAAGCTAAGGAAGCTGTGTATTTAAGAAAGGAATCAATTATTTCTAATACTTCTGAAAAAGCTGTAAAATGAGGAATGAAAAATATTACGGTACAATCAATGGCCTCTAACAAGAATTCTCTTCAAACTGAATACATACCTACAAAAGGCAAGATCAGCGGAATACTATCATATTTAAGTCTTAGCTAAAAGTTAATAAATACTGCTCCATCAAATTTCAAAGGAGTTAATGTGTAAATAAATTCAGTTACAAAGAGATATGACCAAATTCCTATCACAAATTTTCTCTGTGGCCACTGTCAAAAGGAAAATGGAATTCCTCAATCATGCTGTGGGCCCGAGCCCATCAAACCTCAACATAAGCCTTCTTCCTCCTTCCATCTTAGAATACAAAGCTCACATCACAGGTTCTAGTTGAATAATTCTAAAATTGTGGTTTTAAAATCTGGAAGCAAAGGATGCAATTTAACATGAGACAATTGACACAGTTCTTATAGGAAAGAATGACTTAAATTCTGTTTTTTAGCCAGAGACCACAACTCTAAACCTGCACTAGTCCTTCCCCCAATGAATCAGGGAATGAATCAGAGGAAACAAATTGCTATAAATCTACCACTGAAATTCAAGTAAAAAGTGAAAACTTAGGGACTCAGATGAAACAAAAAAATGACAATTTTGTCTGAAATCTACTTAGAACAAATGTTAACAAGCTACACACAGAAGCTGATTCAATTATAAGACAAATCAACCTCAAAAATGCACATTAAGACTTTTCCATTCACTTTTAAAAATATCATCCAATTTTTCTTCACAAAAAAGATCCTTTATTCAGTACTACACAAACCTACCAATCAATCTAGCTAAATGGCATCTAACAATCCAAATTTAGCAGTAGTTTTACAATCTAATGGTGAAAATGATGTTAGTGGTGGATAAAAAGACATCTCTGAGTATCTATTCAGCTATATCCAGAATAGCTGAAATCCAACATGAGTTTCTTCTACTCTTTCACCAGAGTATAACAAATGGAGCTTCCCTGGTGGCTTGGCCAGCAGGTAAAGAATCCGCCTTCAATGCAGCAGACCCTGGTTCAATCCCTGAGTTGGGAAGATTCCCTGGAGAAGAGAATGGCTCTTGCCTTGAGAATGCCAGTATTCTTGCCTTGAGAATTCCATGGACAGAGGAGCCTGGCAGGCTACGTCCATGGGGTCGCAAAGAGTTGGACACAACTGAAGTGACTAACACTTTCACTTCCAGAGTATAACAAATATGTTCGGAACAGTATACAGTTAAAGAATTTCTGATGGGACTTCCCTGGTGGTCCAGTGGCTAAGACTGTGTTCCCAAAGCAGAGTACCTGGATTTGATTCCTAGTCAGGGAACTAGATCCCACAGGCCAACTAAGACCCCAGAGCAGCCAAATTTAAAAAAAAAAGAAGAAGAAGAAGAACCTCAGATGAATAAAGAACGTAAAAGAAAAATTCACAGAAGAAATGCAAATGACTAACAAATATGAAAAAGCAATCAGTCTAAGTAATCAAAGACATGGAAGATAAATGAAATGATCTTGGCCTACTACAGCAGCACAGATTATCATCAATCAGACCATAAAGAATCTGCCTGCAATGCAGGAGACCTGAGTTCAGATCCCTGTGTTGAAAAGATCCCCTGGAGAAGGCAATGGCTACCCACTCCAGTATTCTTGCCTGGAAAATCCCATGGACAGAGGAACCTGGTGGGTTACGGTCCATGTGGTCACAAAGAATTGGATATGACTGAACAACTAACACTTTCACTATCACTCAATGAGAGCATCAACTGGGTCAGGCTCTCTGGGAAATAATCTGACAACATGTATCAAATCTTAAAAAGTGTTCATACTTTTTGAGAAGGTAGTTTTCCTTCTAGAACTCTATCTAGAATTCTATCATAAGGAAATAATCAGAGATGAGAGTCAACAATGTATAAAGCTGTTCAGAGATTCACTTTAATAAGTAAAATGGACATTTAACTGTCCAACAGTTAAAAGTATGACCCACCTGTCAAATAAAGTATTACACAGATATTAAAATCAATCATTTAGCCAGAGGAGGATGATGAACCAGATGAGCAGAACAGAATAAGGGTTTCTCTCATGCTGAGAAGAAAAGACAAAGTGATTATTTTTAAAAGTTTATAGAGATTCTTATTGTGTGTTTATAAGGTTACTGAAGAATGAAAAGAATACAAAGAATGCACGGAAGGAGGATCTCAATTTTTTAAGAAAAATTATATACATTTAAAAAAATACCTAGAGTAAAAAAACTAATTTTTAACAGTGGTTATCTCTGGATTATTATCTCTGGATAATAGTAATATAGATAACTTAAAAATTCTTTCCTCTCTACTTTCCCCCCCGTATTCTATATAAAATAATATGTACCTTTTAGAATTCAGGTGGAAAAAAACTAACAAGGAAACTTACTGTGCGATTTCTAATGAACAGAAAAACCTTCTGGGTCTGCTGTGGTCCACTGATGATATCAGGAAAACAGGCTGCTTCTTGAGAAGTCATCCGGTCATGAGGAAGTCTACTCTGGAAAGCTGCACCCTCCACACCTAGCAAAAAAAAGCAAAGGGTTTCTGGGAAATGTGCAAGTGAATACAGAACTAGGGATAATGATTATGCCTCAAACTCCTTTCTGCCTGAAGAACTTCTGCAGAGCTTTGCCTTGTTCACAGACTGATCTCACTTCCTTTTTTAAAAAAAACTTTCAATTTGCTCAAAAGTTGAAACACCCTTAAAAAGTAGTCATTCTTAAAAAAAAAAAAAAAAAAAGTAGTCATTCTTTTGAGCTTAACATTCCTAAAATCAGTTTACTAATGAGAGAAACAATATACATTAAAAAACATAACAAGGCATTTAGAATCTTTTCTTCATCCACAAAAAACTTTAAAATACTTGAGGACATTCAACTGAAATTAGCACCATTAACAGTATACAATAAATTTTAAAACTAAAGAACAAGAGCATAGGAGAAAAGACTAACAAGAAAGCAAAAGAGGCCATGGAATGAAAAACACAATCACATACTTTTTTAGGACAACAATAGGGAACATGAAGAGGATCTATCGTTTAAAAACGAACATATGGTCTCATCAATGGCACCATCCATTAGTTCTCATAATTAAATTGCTGGCAAGCAGTGACAGAAATTAAGCAGACTACAATGAAGAGACAAAAGAAAGCAAGAAATTCATCTTTTCTGGTAGAAACATTAGAAATGCTTTACTACTAACTGCAAGTAAAATATGTCACTATATACACTATATAGTACTACATATACATATATATAATTTATTTAACAAGTCTAAGTCTTAAATTGGGTATTAAATTGAAATTTTTATAAGCTGGTAGTTAAGTACATCTTTATAAGATATCCTAAGAAATACATTTACATATATTTTACTTTTATTTCTAAGATGATCTTCCCCTGGTAGTCCAGTGGTTAGGACTTGGTGCGCTCTATATAGGATGATCTTCATAAATATATACTTAACCATTAGCTTCTGCACATATCAAAACACAATTTAAAGAGTTTAAAAATTCAATATCATTGAAGTAATTATGTAAGTAATAAAATAGGTACCAGATATCCATATTTAATCATTTAAAAGCACAAAAAAACAAGAAGTTGGAAGCACTGATAATGGAAGCAACACTAAAGAAAAGACATCAGTAAGATTAGGAGAACAAAAAGAACAAGGCAGGTAAAGATGTAACTTAGAAAACTACAGTTAAGCTATTGAGGTATTGTTTCCATAAAGACGTCCAAACACTATTTAGAAAAAAATAATGATTAATGAGAAGTTAAGCAAAAATGCCTAATGCTACTATATATTAGGGAATACTGTTCTTGGAGACAAGCATTAAAACTCATTCATCCACAGTAAGTAATGAGGGCACAAATAATGTATTCACAACACTAGATCAAATTAATAATCCTCATATTCAATGAATCACAACCTAAAATTAAGACTCTCAGGGAAATTGTTCTACAAGGAAAAAAAAAAAACCAGCCATACTGTGGAAGGCAGAGCAGGAAATCAAGGCATGAAAAGAAGAAATGCTGATTATCAGAAGTAGAGGTTATTTCAGTAAACTGAAAGTTTCCAATACTTTACAGCTTCAAAGTCCCCAGTCCTGTATTCCCAAATCATAATAAATAAACTGAACAAAAAATAAAGCCAAGTCCAAAACCATGTCACATTTATAAGAAATATTATCTATTCAATAACCCTGAGTATTTGAACCAAATATAGGTTATATCGTGGTATATTTCATGAGTGTATACTATTAACAAGAAAACCAATGAACTCTATAAACTTTACGTCTCCTTTCCCAAAACAGGGTAGTTTTCTTTCTTAGTTATATTATCTTCTATATGTATGTTTAATAAGAGGTCCCTGACTATCAATGTTATTGCAAAATACTACTGTCACGACACCCAGAAAAACCAAGTGGGTGGGGTGGAACCCTCTAAATTTTACATTATATATGGTTTCTCACTCCAAGTGTTATCAACAGAAATCACTTTAATATAGTTAGCTAATTTGAGAAATCTGGAGAAAATGTAACAATTAAGAAATTTTATATCAGTCACAAGTTTTAAATTATCTTGTGATCAAACATAAAAAGTTTAACAAAAGGAATAAAAGGAGCCCAAAGTTGTAACATTAATGTACATGTGGAATAACAATATTCTCCATCTCTAACTTCTGCATAATAGCTTAAAAAAAAATTCTTAAAAATAAACTTTTTAAAAACAAAAAACGGACCCTAAAAATTCTAATTACTGCCTTCCTTCTAGCTTTTAAGGATGAGACTAGTATTTTAAGAAGGAAACCATTATCAAAATCAAGATGAAAAGTGTACAAGATTTAAACATCTAACTTTTTCCCAAAGAAACAAAAAATTTGAAAACTAAACTGCTCAGAAGCTAAATCAAAACATTCTTTTAAAAATATTGCAAAATGAACAGACCACTATCTCCTTTAAAGGGAAGAATCTTACAGAATACAACTGTCTTTAACAATGTTCTTACTGAAAGCACCGCAGTGCACACGATCCACAAGTAACTCACGCCTGGCTCTGGAGTGGTTCTATGGTTTGGTGCTGTGTGCGCTTTAACGGAGCCTGGTATTCTGGAAGTTCAGAGTGTTTCCAAAAGACACTATCTTATGTTTTTAAAAGCCACAGGTTCCCTACATAACCAATCTTGCCCTCTGTTCGTCTTTCTTACCACTTCAACACAGGATATTTCCAGCATCACCTTTCAAAATGCAGTCATGCTAAAGCTTAACTGCCCTGTCTAAGGGTCTGACTGGCTCATACTTTCTCTGAAAACAAAGTAGAAGTAGTTACATATTTAAAGGAATGACTTTCTGAATCTATTAATTAGACAGAAAAAGGGAGGGGAAAGTGAGACTCCAGGACCATTAAAAACATTTCCCCCCAATTCTGTTAGAACACAGGCAGCATCTTGAATAAAGTAACAGAGATAGGACAACAGAAAAGAAAAGAAGACCTCCATGAGAGTTTCTTGGCTTTCCCCCCTTCATTAAAGTAGATAAAATTTAACTATAACTAGATTTCTAGCTAAAGGATGGAAACAAGAGCCTGATAAGATGTACATATAAACTTCCTAAAATTAGTAACTATACATGCACCATGTATTAGTGTCAGTCACTCAGTCATGTTTGATTCTGCAACCCTGTGGACTGTAGCCAGCCAGGCTCCTGTGTCCATGGAATTCTCCAGGCAAGAATACTGGAGTGGGTAGCCATGCCCTTCTCCAGGAGATTTTCCCAACCCAGGGATCAAACTCAGGTCTCCTGCACTGCAGGCAGATTCTTTACCGTCTGAGCCACCAGGGGAGCCCTGATGCACTACATCCAGTCTAAGAATAGCTTAAAAATAAAAGAATAAAAAGAGAGAAAAAGGAAGAAAAAGGAGAGCATTTCTTATGCTTTAGATTTTTAATTTTTAGGGTAAATGCACACTTTAAATGATTCTATGAGGGAGAGTGTAAGGAACAGTATATGCGTAAGAAACAAGACCTCTGCGTTCTCACTCCTCCGCTGCTGGTATATCCCTAGTTGAGTCATTTACTTTGTGTTTCAGGACCTAACTGATAAAACAGGGGTGATGCAAATACCATCTGTTTGAAGGGAGAAAACTAGGTAAGATGACCTCAAGTTCCCCCCTAATTTTTAAGGTTTAGGATGTAAATACCAACTTGATGTGATTTTTTTAAGGTCAAGATATGATCCTGGTCCCAAGATACTCATGAGGGTCACATGGTTTTGTTAAGAGCAGAACACTGATTACTTATAAGCATACTTTTCTAACTCGGACTGATCATATCACAAATGCAAGCTTCTGAATAAGCTGAACAAGATGAAGATCTAAAGAGACCCTGACGGGCTCAGAACGGTCACCACCACCCTGGAAGCACCTGAAGCGCACGCTCTGCTCCTGTTAAAGGAGCAGCGCCAGTTCTGTATGGAGTCTGTTTTTACTCTCAGCAATACGACACACTGTTCTCTTAAGCGAAAGAGTCAATTTATTAATTATTCACGTAAAAACAAAAAGCAACAAGAAAACTCTATTTCTTCAATATTAAAAGTTCTAAAAGCTATCCCTACTCCTCCGCAGTTCCACAGAAGATCCAGTCATGCATCATTTGATGAAAAGCACTGTTGAAGATTTATCTGCCAGATAAATGAGAATTTTAACTCCTCTAAGACAACCATGTACTTATTATCAAACTTCAATCCTTTGGACAGCATTTAAAGAAGTCTACTTCTAACATTCTGGATCCCCTAGATACTACCACTGAAGTATCTTTGATCCAAGAGAGTAAGATACAAATATTCCCTGGACCTGCTTACACAAACTGTAATAAATAATTTTGAAGTAGATTTAAGAGTTGAAAAGTGACAAACTCCAAAAGTGATACCTATTCCAAATCTATCAAAATGTATATGCAAAATAGTTTTGAGCACTGGCATATACAATAACACCCTTTAAGAGGTAAAGGATGAAATCCAGACTATTCTACTTTGGATTCCTGGAACAAACTTTAACTGTTCCAGACAGGCCCCTATAAATAACCCTTTACTTTTTCCTAGAAGTTAAAAATCTCATAGCTTGGTCTGAAAATAAGAGTGCTTTGAGCAGACTTTAAAAAGAAATTAATTTTCATGTGAGAAACAAAATGTTTAAAACTGAAAAATTAACTATGTAATAATGTTAGTTGAAAAACTGTATCCAATACCACTTAACAATCATTTCTAAGGAGTCAACTTGCCCACATAATTCCTTTGATTAATCTTAGAATGCCTTTCCATCCTATTTTTCAGCCTATGGCTTACCCTTTCTGTGTATTATTACGTTATAGTTCTGTGTAAAGGTCCCATGATTTCTAAGCTTATGTTTTACATTATGTTTGCTGTTACTATAAAGTCTGCTGGGGAGAAAAGTACCCGCCATCTCCTCAAAAATATGAAGAAGAGTGGAGGGCTGAGATCGGCCTGAGGACTTCAAAAGATTTTGCTTGCCTTTGTTCTGGCTACACTTTCTATTGTACTACTCTATCCTGTGGCTTGGCTTATAGTTCTTCCCTTGTGCTTCTGGCTAAAATGTGGGTACCACAGCCAAAGACACTCGCAAGCATCAATTCCTAACTTGGCGGCTCTTGCTAAGTGGCAAGCATCTAACGCCACCCTCACCTGATGCTTGGCCGTCTCCATACCCTCCAGAACTGTCGTCTTGAAGTCCTCCTGCTTGCCCTGTGGAAGGAAAGAGGAGAACTCAGGGACCTTACTCCATAAATTGAGATAATATCTGGACATATAGTTGGGATAATGTCTGGCCTAACAGTTGCTGACTCATGACTTCACCACCACCTAGTAAACCCATATTCGGAGCGCTCTTTCTTCTGGAATCAAGGCCCAGGGAATCACATTATAGTGTTCCAAATTCTGGTCAGGAAATGTCAACTTTGCATGCTGATTCTTGTTGAAAGGTAGCAGAAAAAGTATGTAGTATTTCTAATGGCTAAATCCTTGCTGTCAGTCTTAAATCAGTCAAGACTGGATGGGGAAAAGGGTACTGCTAGACTGAGAGCGGGTGTGGCAAGGGCTCTAGGATCTGGACTGGCAACAATTCAGCATTCGCTCAATGTCTCTTAAACTCTACCTTTCTGCCTAAAAAGTATATATATATATATATATATATATACACAAATATATATATAAGAAAACAAACAAAAGACGTAATTTTAATGAGAAAGTCTCCCCTTGATTCCAAAGAAGGGACAATAACTACAAGATTCAGTTCCAAAAGAAGTTTCATTCACTATACAAACTACACAGTGCCAGATCTGAACATGCCAGTGCTTCCTTAGAAAACTTTAAAAGACAACATAAGCCACCTCGCAGTTACATGCCAAGTACTGCAGAGAGTCACAAGGGAAAAGGCTGAAGCAGGGAAGAATGTGGGGGGCTTCTACCTCAAGCTACACAATAAGCCTGTAAGAAATTTTCTTCGTTGATTAATGTACAGAAATAGCTTCAAGAAAAGTATCACAGCTTGAAAGTTCAATCTGAGACAGTTAGATCATCTTCAAGACTCTTCCAAAGTCAATCACCAAGACAGATGCAATGGGCATCTTAAGCTTCTAGCCACCTGATACACTATGTGTATGATACACAGTGTGATCTCTGGAAGATATGAGACACCATCCCCACAAGACCTAAAACTTGACAAGCTTCATTAAATAGTTTAAAAGAATCTCAACTAGAAAGCAGACTGATTATTTCATCATTTGAGTTGAGAGAGCAGGAAAATAAAACTAACACTACTCCCTTACTGTAAGAACGATTCTATGACTGTGATACTTAAAACTTAAAACAACACTTTGATCTCTAAGTGTGTGAAGGTATTCAGACATAAATGATTTTTTACAACATTATAATATGCTGCTAGATGGTATACGATCTGCTTTGAAAGGAGAACAGAATCTCATTCTAAAATTATTTCACATTGCTCTTGTATGAAGGGTCCTTTAGGTTCCAGAAGATTATGCTTCTCAGACAAGTTACAAGGTGTGCGATCTGCTGTTTACAGCCTTTGAAAAAGGGCTTATATGTATGAAGAGATAACTCCAATTATGAAATCCAATCTGTAAATCTATCTTGAAAATGCAGGATCTATATTTGAAATTTTATTTTTAAAGTTTAAGTAAAAAAAAGTTCATTCTTAATAAACACGGATTAATTCATTTAAAAATCTTTCAGAGTTGAAAAGTTTCTGAGTAAAAATTATTGTCATAATTTTGTTTGGTTCCAAAATAGAACCAAACTAGATCAGAAGATTAAACTATATTTTAGAAAAGAGGGGAAAGGGGCTCAAAACAATGAAATCATTTCCAAGAAGAACATTTAGGCATTAGAAATAATAATATAGCTCTTCTTTCGCAAATTATGTTCCTGGCTTAACAAAGAATGAAAATAACCATCTCTTGTCATCATGGCATCTCATCACTTCTTAGTAAGTAAAAACAAAAAAACACTTTCAAGCCTGCCATTAAGTATTAATTATTTTAATCCTTCCTATTTCTATGATTTTCTTCTTCTCCCACATGTCATACAATATGTTATGTACTTCATTGACTGATTTTTTTCTATCAATGGTACTTCATAGAAATATGGAGTTCTTATCCCTGACTTGTGTACTCAGAAGGGCAACAAGGAAAGGCAGTCTTTCTTGTCTTCTGCTTTTGAAGAGGAACTAACAAAATTCTTATAAAGCCACTGTTTTTTTCTGAGACTGTTCTTGGATAAAAAAAAAAAATGTGTAGGAGAAACAACAAAAATATTCAATACACTGGAAAGATTTTTAAAAGGTATCTCTTTTAACAGCAGTCAAAAAAAAAAAAAAAGAAGTGAAACTCTGAGGTATTACTTAAACAGAGAAACAGGAGAAAACCAAGCAGAAGGTGTTATAAACATGTAAGAAATGATGAAAAACAAAAAGTGCTTTAAATTAGGTAAATGAACAATGTATCTCTTGACTTGACAACCACTGATAACCTGTTTGAAAGTAAAGATAAGGTTGTTGTTTTCTAATCACAATATACTCAGGAGAGTTGTGACGGTGAATACTTCTCCAAGACAGTGGAAAACAGCACCATCTTTATTAGTGGTAGTCTAGGCCAATTCTTCATCTTTTTTGTGTGTGTGCTTTACTAGCTCTCAGATTCATTTTGCCAGAATGCTATAATGTTTAAAGCACAGAATCATGCAATATAATTGGCATAAAAAAGTTTTACAATTACATATTAATTTCCTTTATTTTTTAACAGAGTATTCATTATTTCATTAAGAAAATACACACAAAAATGGGGTTTCCCTGGTGGCTCAGATGGTTAAAAAAAAAAAAAAAAATTTGCCTGCAATGTAGGAGGACCCAGGTTCAATCCCTGGGTCAGGAAGCTCCCCTAGAAAAGAAAATGGCAACCCACTCCAGTATTCTTGCCTGGAGAATTCCATGGACAGAGGAGCCTGGTGGGCTATAATCCATGGGGTCGCAAAGAGTTGGACATGACTAAGCGACTAACACTTTCACACAGAAAAATGTTTGCAGCTAACTTTACATCCAGGTAGTGTCTCTGACTAGAACAGATAAAATGTATTCATTTGTTCTTTGGGTCTTTCAGGTCTAGAACTTTTCTTCTGACAGTGGTATAAAGACATGGAACATCAGGCAAATATGGTTTTTGTTTTCCATAAGCTCAAATCCAAAACAGAAGACAAAATTATACAAAGTAACTTTTTAATATTAACTTAATTTGGCACTCCTGTGTGAGAAGACTTCCTGTTATTTTTACTCCACTCCCCTCCACCACACACACAAATACACACACACAAAATTCTCAAGTCTGAAGCACAGACCCTTAATACAGTTTATTTGTGCATATTTTCTCCAAGTTCAAAATCTTTTTGGTTTATTTTACATAGCAGTCTTTCAGTCATCCTCTAATAAATCTGCAGATACATTAAATTATTCTTGAAGAACAGCAACATTAAATTATTCTTGAAGAACAGCAAAGTACTTTAGTTACAGTCACACTACTGAATATTTTTTCATCTTAATTCAAAACTCTTAATTCAAAATTCATACTCTTTCAACATCTTCAGAAGAAGTCTGTTGCTTCCAAATATTTTCACTTAGCCAGGCATGGAGGTGAGAATCATGGTTTATTGTTCCCATTAACATACTAAACAACATATTCATCACATTTTGACTAGTTTCTTAGAAACACATTGATAATTTTTATAAACATTTTGATGAACTTCTAAATCTTAGAGGAAGCAATCGTTTTTAAACAGAAAATCAATCAAAATTTTACCAAATTTACAGAATAAAAATGACTGCCAAGGATTGACTTCAATCAAACCTGACAAATTAGCAAAGGGGAAAAAAAAATCTCAAAAAACCATCTTTGAATATACAAGTTTCCACTATATTAACACACTAGTTGAATTTCTTAATAACCTCACAAATTTAATGTTTACTGAAAACCCAAACAAAAACTGTCACACACAAAATCAAAGGTAGAATAGTGTGTGTGTGCGCGCACGCGCACACACTCAGTTGTGTCCAACTCTTTGGGACCCCATGAACTGTAACCTCCCAGGCTGTTCTGACCGTGGAATTTTCTAGGCAAGAATACTGGAGTGGGTTGCCATTTCCTACTCAAGGGGATCGTCCTGACCCAGGGATCGAACCTGAGTCTCTCCTGCCTCCAGCACTGGCAGGCAGATCCTTCACAACTACACTACCTGGGAAGACCCGAGTGTCTACTTTCAAAGGGTATATGATCTACTTGGGGAAAGACGAAAAAATACCCAGAAACTTTTCTTTATTTTTAAGAGGAAACAAGTACAGACTTAGGGGAATCATGGAAGCTTTTCTGAACAAATCCAGAGAGATCTGGAGAGACTGGGGGTGTGGGGGGGAGCAGTGAAACCACTGGCATGGCCCAAAACATTTACAAAAGCAAGGAGAAAAGCACAGATATGGTACGTGCAAAGAACTGCACACAGCATGCTGCTTAATGAAGGATATGATCTCAAAGAGCAGTGGGAAACACACAGGATAGGCAAAAATGCACCACCTTCAGGGCCAAAACTTAAACTTGGTCTTATTGGTAATGCAGGAGAACAGTATGATTTTTACCAAGAAACCAATAAAACAAGTGACATTTTAATTAAACTACTCTGGTCACTTTGTACCAGATAGATCAGAGGGGAAAGGTGATCTAGATGAAGGAGATTCAATAGAAAGACTACTGAAATAATTTGGATATGAGGCAAAATCCACTAAAATTAAAAAGGAGACAACAGTAAAAATGGATAAGGCACATAACAAGTCAAAGTTGTGCACAGGAAGACACATGACTTTTCAAGAGAGTTGATGAAAGAGATAAGGGAATTTCAAGATGACTGCAAACTTCCAAAGTTCAGGAGAATGGACTTCAGTCATAAAATGTATAAAATAGTAAATCTGGGAGACAGGTTAGTAAAATTAAATGGGCTCAGACAGTAAAGTGTCTGCCTACAATGCAGAAGACCCAGGTTCAATCCCTGGGTGGGGAAGATCTCCTGGAGAAGGAAATGGCAACCCACTCCAGTACACTTGCCTGGAAAATCACATGGATGGAGAAGCCTGGTAGGCTACAGTCCATGGGGTCGCAGAGAGTCGGATACCACTGAGCCACTTCACG